AACAAACGCCACAGCCCAAATACCTCAACTTGCGCTTTGTTTTTCTGAAGAACTCCATGTCACGGCGCCTCGAAGCCCAGGGATTAAGCTCACCGGTTCATCCTGCGGTATTATCATCCACAGAGACCGAAGCTTCACAAGAGAGGCCGACGTGTGATTTTCGGGCCAGATGTCGCTACGCACCGATGAAAGCGCGTGCATATCGCTTGAAAAATTCATCAGAGCAATCAATGAAACTTCCTTCGTGCTGAGAAATAATTGATTTAGGCCTCTTAGCATGGTTCGGATAGAAGGGACGAATTCCCTCGATGCGCTCGACACCTCGGCGAGAATATTCCTCGTACCTCCACGCGATGAATATCTGGGGATGCTCGACCGTATTTTTTAAACGTCACAGGAGACATCTGTCATTATTCGTATGCCCTTTCACAGATATCCGTCCTCCAGGTTCAGTGTGGGAGTGGGCTGGAAGTGGTCGTCGGCCCAGGCTGCTGAGTCTTCAAAACTCCGAGCAGCGTCAGAGAAACAGCTTCATGCGCCTTATCGAGATGCTGGACCGACCTTGAATCATCCCTGAGAACAGCCCCATAGCCTCCATTAATCGATGACTTCACTTCCATTGACGAAGTGAACTGCGTGAGACGGCCTAATCTGAAAATCAAGCTTAAGGCATTAAGAAAAACGCGCTCCCCTAACTTTGTGGATTTTTTTGGCCTGTCTGCTTTCTCTCCTCATCTCTGTATATAATGTTCCGTCTGACACCGCAGTACGTCGGATGAAAGAATTCCAATCGGGCTATCCGGAACTCGAAGACGTGCAAGATACATCACAGGCGAGCAGATCGGTTCTAGAGTATTTGAGGGGAGTTCGCGGAATTCGTTTTCGATGCTGGGAGGGAAAAGTCCTACCGTTTGCTCCCATCCCCGAAGCCTGGAGAGGGCTCTCGGTGGGGGCGTTCACATCATCCTCTTGGTAAGGGGCTAAAACAACTCGATTTCGACGGTTCAGTCATTAGCATTATTTATACCTAGTTTCGTCGGAAAGCATCCGCCTGAAATACCGGGGAGAAGCAGCAGGAAGAGTTACTGAGATCTTTATTCTCCTCCCCAGACAATGGGACGCTGGGAGAATGTGATGGTCGAAGACTCCTCCAGAGTTGAGTGCCAGAAAGCGAACCGCGTTCAGTCTATGCAAGTATTCGAGCAAGTCATTTCTCATCACATGTCGGTTAATGGGGAATGAAAGGATCTCAAGGAGGGGGGGGGGAACGACACTCGATATGTCCCTTGGTCAGGTCGAATCCGATCAGAGATCGTAAGTGTCACTCCCAACCAGAATAGAGAAAATGAATTTTCATTTATTAATTTGTAGTCCGAGCATCATGCAATGGCAAACCTGTTGGCGAAATCCATCGTTTCAGTCTTGACCCCTCCGACCTCCCCGTCATTGAGTCGTCCATCAGTCGCAAACAACCCTCAACACTTGGATAGGCCGCAGACGAAAAGTTTCAAGGATGCATATTCAATCGATCGTCAGCCTCAGAGAAGAGGCTCTGTATCCTCGCAATACATATGCTTCATTGATGTGTCTTCGTCTCTCCAGCCTCACGTGCGGTGTAGCTACGAATACACCCGAACTGAATCAAATCACTTCGAGGGTCGAGACGCGTCAGGCTCCACTCTATCTGAGGTCGAGAGACATCACTTGGGCCTCCGACGAATGAATAGACTGGGAGCCCTCTGTAGCGCAACTGAACGACGCCTCGTGGTCCACAGATAAAGTCTGCGGAATTTCGGCGCTCCTAATGAGCGAGAACACTCCTGGAGACTCTTTGAGCGGAAACGAGGGGCAGTATGGACGAGAAATTCAGCGACTAAGAAGATCATTCCGGCGAATGATGAGGCGATCACCAAAAATTTAAAGGTGGATGTTAAGCCGCTCTCGCCCGAGGCCGGATCGCCTGGTCCCGACTCGACGGTCTCAAGCGTCTCGCGGAAGTCTTTTCCGACATTGCTTCTATCGCTACAGCAATTGAAGGTCCGCTTGATAAAACCTATGCTCTCTTTCGAATGCCTATGCTCCTTTCCCCGCCTGGACGCGCGATCGATAGCGAATCTTAGAAATATGCTGGCGTATTCGTTGGACTCGATGATATCAATATTCGAAGCGATGACTCTGACAGTTTGCAGGCCTCTCTTGGTCGGGGTTCTGAAGCGACCGAGGGTTTCTGGGACAAAATACATTTTCCGATTGGTTTCAATCAATCGAATGCGATACATGTTACTGAAACCGAAGAAATTACGAATCTGATTGACTTCAAAACTTGATCCGCAAATGATCACCCCGGACGATCGGAAAAACCAATGGTATTTTTTGTGCATGAGGGAATGCCAAAAAACAGGGGTCTGCATTGTAGTATGAGCTCTCCTAGGCTCGACCGCGTCGGAGTTCTCATATTCGAAAAATTCTGACGCGCAGCTTGGGATCAGTGGAACCCTTTCACTACTCGGTACGCTGATAATCGAAGTCATGTCGTCGACTAGAATTTGCGTGAAGAACATGTTTGCCAGGACCCACATGGAGAGCGCAATCGGAACGCGGCTCCTCATTTTCCTGGCACATTCTCTAGATGTCGAGATTCCACAGACGAGGACAAGGAAACACTCGCTGAACGACGTGTCGCTCAGGAGCCAGATTGATGCTCCGAGAAGACTCATGATGCTTAGGGTGAATTTGTTCACCACGTGTCCTCGAGTGCCGGATAGAGGGACGTCCCTATCGAACCCGTAAGCGACGACATCATTGTCCGCGACGACAGGTAGTCTGTGTAGAGTATTGACTACGGGATTCGAAATTCTGAATAACTGGGATTTGTTCATGCACGGCTCTACATCGGTCCTAATGGGCACGCTGTCCAGGTACGGTTTTTGCCTGCCGCTCTTAATGTTCCGAATTATTTGCATCTTCGACAGAAGATGGGGGCACGCTTCCCTCGTATCGGTCGCGATCCACTCAGAGACGCATTTTTTGATCGATGATGATTTGTCGACGTTCTCGATGTTCATTTTGAAACCGAAAGGTAATTTTGTGACGGACCTTCTGCCGCAGGGAACGACCCGAGACGCCGCATTGTGACGGGAGGCGTTGACGTGTATCACCCGTTTATAATCGTTCGAGGAAAACTCCAGCTCCGATTCAATCTCTGACGTCGAGATAGAGTTCTTGCTGATAACAATCAGTAGGTCGTTGACGATCGTATTTCCGAGTGTCTGCGGAGATTTTAATGTTGGGAAGGTCGCACGTGCAAGTGGACTATTCAAGTCCGTGAAATCGACACAGAGGAAAACCACCCTGTGGGTGGCCTGATGTCGGCGTCGTGCTTCGTGGGGGAAATCGTCGTCCCAAACGAAGTTATGGAAGTCCCTTGTCAAAGTAAGGTGTGAGGACACTTCGAACCATGTTTTGAGGCGGCAATCCACGAGCTCGATGATAAGATTGCTTCTCTCCGCGACCTTCTCGATTTCGCTCATTGCGAAGAAAACTATCTTCTCTTCGGCCTCAGAAGCCTCATACTTCGATTCGGAGTACCTGGGTCTCCATGCTCTGCCGATCTTTTGATTGGGATTCCTCATTCGCAGGCTCTTCCCTCTCAGATCCATCTGGAGAAAAGTCAGAATAAGGGCTGCCAGACAGCAAATGCCGCAACCGGAGTACCTCATCCTGCGCTTACTTCTCAGGAGCTCCATATCACGGTCTTCTGAGCCACAGAGCTCAAGCTCACCGGTTCCTCCCACGGGATTCTCACCTCGAGAGACTGGAGCCTCACAGGAGAGTCCGACGTGTAAGTTCCGGACTGAGCGTCGCTTCGCAGCCATGGGAACACACACATCTTGCTTGAAAAATTCATCACAGGAATCAATCAGACTCCTCCTGTGCTTGCGGACTTACTCAGCTGGTCTCGGGAACAAGAGCCGAATGACACGAGTTTTCGATTGCCTTGATGATTGTGTCGAATCGGCAGGAATATACCCCGGAGTTCCGAGCGATGGATTCAGGACCGGTCCAATTCAAGCGGCGAAAATAATGAGGATATTCCCGGCAGCCGAATCGATTCTCGATTGAAAGTCATGCTCGAGCCTATGATCCCATTCTGGGTATCAATGTCATATCCCGCTAAGCGAGAAGACTTTGATCAAAGCGGAACCTCCTCGATGAGGCATCGGGGAGTTCCTCATAATGCTTTCCAGCAGATTTCTCCGGTTTCGAGCCCTGTATTCGAATTATCGTCAGACTATCGTGCTCCGAAAAGTTCCCCAAGGTCGCTATTTTCGATCGACACCAGCCAAGGAACCATCAACAGGTCGTTCACTCAAGTCGGAGACCGGATCCAGAGAGATTTCTGATTTAGACATAGGTACTCGAAGAACTGAGTCTCAGACCTCGGTCAAGGAGCCGGGATGTCGATCTTCACCACCGTCGAATATGCAGGGTATCTGAATGGGATTCAGCGGGCGCGCTCTCATGGGTGAAATTGAGAAGCATGGGACACTTCAACCTAATTGCGCGGGCTAGCTCGGGAGCCGGAATGATTTGTCATGCTGATTCTGAACTCCTGATATGGCTGAACTTTCGAGAATCGAAAACCCACATTCATGAGTGTATCCCCGACTTCTTGCGCGACCGAGTTCCCAGATAGGAGGTCTCGCCTACCCGTCGGCCTGATCCGAACTACGTATGTACATCATTGAGTCAGCAGGCTTCAGCCCGGTGTGTTGTCGAGGAGCATTGAGATTGACTCACATCGCCGTCAGTGTCACCCATGTTACCGGAGGAAAGTAGCCGTTCGACTACGACCCGTCGGAGAGCCTCCTCCGAATGCAGCAAGGATCATCGTCAGGATCGCTCCTCTCCTACTCGAAACTAGGCTACGCAGTCGCCCTCTTCTGGAGTTCGTTTGCTGTGGATCTCTATAGACGAGAACGGGATTCCCACAGGCTCCTGAGGACTTTCTTTTTACTTAAGGGAGGCTCCCCGAAGGAGCGGCGTACCTCTGTTCCCGAAAATCGCATGTCCAATGGTGTGGTACTTTCGTGGTACTCTTTCGGTGCCGTGCTCGATTGTTTAGTGGCCATCTTTCTTTTCGAGCTTCGGAAGGGAGCCACGTGCTAGGCATCCGGAGAAAATTTGAAAAAGGTGTGTTTTTCCCGCTTTATACGCTCGTTTTCACTGATTCCTAACCCGGGGTAGGAGAACGACTCACAATTGTCAGTCAGGATCTCTCCCGCACCGATTCGAGGCACCTATCGGTGTTTTCCCTCGTTGGTTGAACCCGGTCTTCGTCGGCGAGGCGGATCGTTCCAACTGATTATTTGCGACGTCCCGCAATGCGGCTCCTCGTGAAAATGAATTGAGGTAGCGGGTTTCTTTTGCGATGCGGCGTGGAATCTATTTCCAAAGAGAGACGGTGATGATTGTACGGCGGTCCCGTGATATTTTGACTTTTGAATCATGCGGTCGTTGCGACAGCTTCGTATGGTGGTAACCCTTGTAATCCGTAAGTGTGTTTAGACGAATTATTGACGAGCCGCAGAAATCCAGAACAGCAGGAAATAACATCCGGTCCCGTTCCAGATGCCGGAACTTCGGAAGAATCCTCGTCGTAAGACGAGACGTCTCCGTGGCCACGTTTCACATGGACATGGTCGTATCGGCAAGCACAGGAAGCACCCCGGAGGTCGCGGAAACGCTGGTGGACAACATCACCACAGGTACGTCGAGTCGATGCCGCGAGTGTATGGAAAGATGTCCGACGATCGACGTCCACCGTGCTATCGATGGCGGCGGGGCTCGATTTATGATACTCGACCGGAATGAACACTGAAATCACCCGAACCCCTCCCTCCTTGCAGAATCATGTTCGACAAATACCATCCCGGATATTTCGGGAAGGTCGGCATGAGGAACTTCCATGTTCGCAAGAACCACTACTACCAACCGACGATCAATGTTGATCTCCTGTGGTCCTTGGTCGAGCGAAAGACGAAGGAAACCCTCCTGGACTCGGCCAAGAACAAGGATAAGAAAGCCCCTGTCATCGACGTTGTACAACACGGCTTCTTCAAGGTTCTCGGCAAGGGTTTCTTGCCCCAGAGCCCGGTGATCGTGAAGGCGAGATGGTTCTCGAAGCGAGCCGAACAGAAAATTAAGGAGGCAGGAGGTGCCTGCATTCTCACCGCCTAAATAAAAGCCTGGTGGTTTCGGAACTTTGCGTCTTCCCTTCCATGAGAATTCTCCCATCGACTCACCGTCGTTACTATCCACTGCTTGACGCGAGTTTGGATACGGTAGTTGAGGGGAGGGATTCCTTCATCTGAAGATGTTCAAAGAGCCCCCTATGACCCGGAGGGCCTCCAGTCGCTTTCCTAGCGGTAATAAATCAGCGAGGTCGCAGATCCTCGGCCATAATCCGACTCGACTGCCGATGGCTGGGGGATTCCTCTTTCCAGATAGCTCTTGTCGACAGTCTCTTGGATGGCTTCAAGAAGGGTAGCTTCTCGGGCTCGGGGTCTTGAAGTTTTCGGGAGGGGGCGGGAGAAGCCCCAGAGAGCTCTAGGTTTGAATTCGGGGACTGGGATGGTTGTTCACAGGCGGTTCGCCGGACCCGGTTTTTTTTGCGACGCGAGTCTCAATACGAAATTAAAGCGCGAGCTCTTCATTCCAGATGTCATCGTCGCATCCCATAAATCGACGGATTCTACAAGTCCGGCACCTTCCGAGAGCATTCACCGAGACTCAATCCACAGCTCTCCTGAAGGGACACGGAGCTCATACAGTCACTTTTCAGAGGAAAAGCGTTTTCGCATTTTTCGACAGCGAGGCATCTGCTCGCCAAGCCATGCAGGCTTTACATCAACTTCATCTGAACGAATCGGTGCTATTAGTGACATTCGCCCGCGCAAATTATCCTTCTCTGCCTCTCTTGCCTCCGGTTCTCGGTCAGCAGCAGGTGCCGAGCGAAGAAGGAATGATCCGCAAGCTTCACGCAATCGCTCCTCATTTGAATTTCAATTATATTCTGAATCCAATGGTGAAGTACAAATACCCTCCGATAAACGACACGATACTGGCCAACATCTGCGAAGCCTTGCGAGACAACTCAAACTTCTACACCCAAGTCCTACATCTCATGAACAAGATGTGTATACCACCCCCGTTCCGACGGAAGGCGGTGCCGAGCCGAGTTTTCCAGAGATCGTCACGTGACACGTACACGCAAATCACTTCGGACTCAGAATCTGATCTCTCAGATGCCGAGAACGTCCCACGGAGAGCTAAGCGGAGAGCCCGGGTCGGAACAGCTGCTCTCGAGATGAAACCGATTCGGAAACCGAAAACCGATATCCCGATTGGTAAGCTTCTACCGGAAAGCTCCCCGATGGACGTCAGCCTATGCTTCGAGTCTCCCCAAATACGCAGACTTGAAATTGTTCCCATCCATTCCGTCGGTCATGGCCATGCGGAGCTGGACCCGGCTCCAGGAGAAGGATTCGGTCGGATCGATCCACCACAGCCAGAAGAAGGAACGCCCGAAATTCTTCCGAAATTCGACTTTGTGTCCGCTGAATTCCGCGACGTGGGGACCATGGAGCGACTCTCGATCAAGGACAGCATCGATCATGCGGCTTTCCGAAACTACGAAGAAGGAGACGTCTGTGTTCGTTTGTACCTGAAAAACCTTCATAAGTCCACCACCGAAGAAGAACTCTTCAGCGTATTCGGACAGTTCGTCCCGGACAACGATGCCGAAAGAGCCATCTTCGACATCAAACTCATGAAGTCCGGCCGAATGAGGGGCCAAGCATTTGTCACATACGGGTCTGTACCAGCCGCTGAGAGAGCTCTCGAACTCACAAACCGAGTTATCCTGAACGGCAAACCGATGTCAGTACAATTCGCGAAAGCGGCTCGCGTTGAAAGTTGAGGGCTGAAATTTGAGGAGAGGGACCTCTCAGACTTCGGCTTACGGACGGAAGAGCTGTGAGGCGCGCGCCTGCAAGTCCTCGTGCCGTTGTGCTCCTCAAGGTGTGATACTTCTTCCCAGGATCCGTCTCCGGGAGCAATATCTGAGCAGTGGTCCCCGAACTCTGCAATTTCGCTGTCAAGGCCGGAAGATGTCCATGTATGACCAGCTTCTCCCACCAGCAGAAGAATGTTCGCGTTCGAAGAGACTTTCTGGCCGGCGAGAGGGGACTTCTTTATCTCAATGGCTGAGAGACACGGCCTCGTGATTCTCATCCGGGGAAGCATGCTCGTCCAATGATACGATCGGGTTTTGTACAAATATCGAACAACTCATTACATTTGAGTCCCCAGCGCCATCGATAGTCGGAGAATCGCCGAGTTTTTCGGCACGTCATTGATTTTTCTCGTGAAAATTGAAGTACCCTCCCTCATCCGTGCGAATAAATGATCGTTATGGTTATGATTACGGTAATAATTGATCCTCGCTAACGTCTACACGTTCTCGTTTGAGCGGAAGATCTTGATCAATATAGGAATGGCAGAAGTCTGGCGTATACGAATTTGGCACCAAAATTCAGCGATGGAAACATAGCCGAGGCGGGTAGGGGCTCTCCGCTCACGAGTACGAAACAGTTGGGTGGGCTCCGGAATCGGAGGATCGACTGAGTCGGTCGCTGGGAGTTATTACGAGCTATCCATCGTCAGATTGACAGAAATCTCCCCGAATGACGGGTGATTGTCGAGAGAGTCTTCCGATCCTGGGCACTTCGCGGACGAATTTCCGGTTTGAGATACGATCGGATGCCTCATCCCCTTCCCAGCCTCTTCAGAACAGCTGAAACCGCTGATTCGGTACGATCGGAGCTCCTTTCGACCTATCTCGCGATTGCAATCTAGCTCCGTCACAGGGACACGGGGTTCGGAAGAGGATCGATCTCGATAGCGATGCATGCATAGAGGGAGAGGGACCTGGACGGAGATAGTCTTGCCGAGAGGGACACGACTCATTCTCACTCAGATTGAACACAGAATCATCCTTTAAAGACTCAGTCAATAACACGCAACAGCACTTTATTGTGGCCGACATTCGCGGATCCAAAGAATGAGAACAAACTGATTCAATTTGCAAGTACCATGTTTATAGAAAATAGATGACTTCTCAGACATATTTATGGCATCGTTGACGCAACTGACCACAATAAGCCGAGAGGTTTAAATATAGCTTAGTTTTAATGGTAATCGTAACTGGTACCCCTACCCCTTGTGGTGAGTATCGAGCAAGCGCAGCACAGGAGTAGCAATCCGAAATCGGCCGACGCGGCGTTGGTATGCCGGCCAATGCCCATCGTCGGGGATAATGTCATCAACGTGAAGACGAACAGTCAAATCGGTTGAGTTCGACATTTTATTGGAACCTCGGATTAGCTTGTATCGTTCAATATACAAAACACTGCGTCATTTTTCTTCTTAAACGATACCACTCCTTGAGCCCTCGACTCCCACCAAGGTGGAAATTGTTCTTACATCTTGTCGAGATAATTGTCGAGCTCCGGAAGAGCCTCTTTGAGTCCCTTGCGTTTCCTCGTCTCCATGACGATCTGGTGGGGGCGAGATTTGCCGTCAAGGGGATCTCCGGGAAGGATCTGCCAGTGGTCGAATACGCACTGCGGGAAGGCCTGACCTCCGGTGTTGGAACGGAGATCGGCGGTGAAACCGAACGATTCATTTACGGGCAAGTAGGCCTTGACAATGAACATCGGTGTTCCGGCCACCTGAGACTCTTCGATAACGTGACCACGACGTCTGTTCAGCACACCGTAGATACCTCCGACAGCGTTCTCAGGGCACTGAACTTCAACAAGGTAGACGGGCTCCATGAGACGGGGCTGACCGGTCAACAGACAGGCGTAGAGGCAACGACGAGCGGTCGGAATGATCTGACCTCCACCACGATGGATGGCGTCGGCGTGAAGGGTCACGTCGTGGATGTTGAATCTCACACCGCGCATGTTTTCGTCGCAAAGGACCGACTCTTTCGTGGCCCACTGGAAACCAGCGACGACGGAATCCTTGATTTCGTTAAGGTATTGGACTCCCTTGGTGACGTCGACCAGGAGATTGGGTCCGGTACCCTCGGGACCGAAGGCCCAGATCTTTCGCGCTTCGGTCGTGTCCCACTCGTACTTCTCGACAAGGACACGGGCACGAGCTTTGAAGTCGTCACGAGGGTTGACATCTCCCTTGTCGATGTCGTCGGAGAGACCCTCGGCCATCGGGGTGGCCTTCATGAACAGACGGTTGTGTTTGTTGGGAGACTTCGATAAACAAGTGATGTCGGACTCTTCTGAAACCGATTCTCTGTAAGACACGACGGGATCGGTCTTCTTCAACGGGATTCCGGCGTGATCTTCTTCGAGATCCTTGAGACAGATCTCGAGATGCAGTTCTCCGGCACCGGCGACAATGTGTTCACCAGATTCTTCGATGATACATTGCACCTGTAGGGGAAAGGTCAAAAATAAGTTCGAGCCTGGAAGTCGGACACGAGGGAACGGTCAGCCGATCGGATAATGCATGCACGACGAAAGGAAACCAATGAATCGGTTGGCCCGGCTGGAATCGCTTACCATAGGATCGGACTTGGCGAGACGCTTGAGACCTTCGACGAGCTTGGGAAGATCAGCGGGGTTCTTGGGCTCGACAGCGACACGCACGACGGGGGACACGGAGAATTTCATGACACGCATGTTGTGGGAGTCCTTGAAAGTGGAAATAGTTCCGGTCTTGACCAAGAACTGATCGACTCCGACGAGACCGCAGATGTTGCCGCAAGGCACATCCTCGATAGGCTCGACGTAACGACCCATCATGAGCACGGTACGCTGAATGTTCTTCTCAGCGAGATCCTCTTTCTTTCCGTAGACGAAGTTGGGACCCATGATGCGCACTTTCTGGCCGGACGTGACCACTCCGGAGAACACACGACCGAAAGCGTAGAATCGACCCTTGTCGGAAGTCGGCACCATTTTCGAGACGTACATCATGAGGGGAGCCTCGGGGTTGCAGTCCTTGATTCCCTTGGCGGCTTCGTCGTCCTGAGGACCTTCGTACAGGAGTTCCATTCTGTAGCGCTGGGCAGTGATCGGCGACGGAAGATGGATGGTGATCATTTCGAACATGGCGTCTCCAGCGGGCAGCCAAGTTCTCATGACAACCTTGAGAAGGTCCTTTCCTTCCTTGTCCTTGTCTTCACCCTTCAGCTTGATGTTGAGCTTCTCGATCAAACGGGCGGCCTCCTCCTTCTTGTAGTTCATGATAGCGTCGAAGATCTTGTAGATCGGGTCCAGGACGAACATGGTGAACGCGCGCTTGTAGCCCTCGCCTTGGGTCTTGTTCCACTTCTTGGTCTGGGGGTTGTAGAAGTTCTCTCCCCACAGCTTGTTCATGAGCTTTTCGATGTCGATGTTGAATTTGCCAGAGTAGATCTCGGCGAACTGTTTCAGAGTGAAAGCCCATCCGTGGAGACCGGATCCGAAACCGACGGATCCCTTGGCGGGATCGACCTTCAGATCGCCCATGGGTCCAGTCTCGTCACCGTACGTCGAGATGATGACGTTGATGTTTTCGACGATACGCTGGAAACCCTGGTAAAGATCTTCGGCTTCGAGTTGCAGCGTCAGGAGGGCCAAGTCCATCTTGTTCATGAAAAGAACGGGCTTGATACGTTCGGCGATGGCTTGTCGGAGCACGGTTTCGGTTTGTACGCATACTCCGGAGACGCAGTCGACGACGACCAGAGCTCCATCGGTGACACGGAGAGCGGCCGTCACTTCAGAGGAGAAATCGACGTGCCCGGGTGAATCGATCAGATTGATCAAGAAACCCTTGATTCCCTTCTCGACTTGGTCTTCACCCTTGATGAAGGCGAGATCTTTCTCGGCCAACTCGAAGTACATCGACACAGCGCTGAAAAATAGAAATACCCAGCTATGAATTCACGTCGAGGATATCGGCTGAATATATATCGGCTTTCACGTTGCCCGGGCAGTAAGCACTCGGACGGGTAGAATGGAACAACGCGGTGAGCGCAAGGGATCGATAATAATAAGCAAGTCCACCGAATACAACGATGGGAAACTACGAGGAATACTCACGTCGACTTGATGGTAATACAACGCTCCTGCTCGTCCTTTCGAGTATCGGTGAAACGGGTCTCACCAGCCTTGGCGCCGGCGATGATACCGGCCTTCGACACGAGGGAATCGGTCAGGGTGGATTTGCCGTGATCTACGTGAGCAATCACGGACATGTTCCTGATGTTCTTTTTCTTATTCATGAGAGCACGAATCTCGTCGACCGTGAAGTTCACCTGGAGTTCATTGGGAGAGAATTAGGAAGTCGTCACTTGTTGACGTCTCCGATGAAAGCCGAGGTATTCGAGGATTCTACGCTGAACTGAACCCCGAACGGGATCCTGAATTCGGATTCAGCGTCTGGAGGATTAAACCCGAGGGAGAACTCGAGTACAGATCCGAGAGCGCAGAGGACATCTGGAGGAGGCTCAGGGAAGCTTCGGCTGCAGGAGGAAATCTCCGAATTCGCAATCAATTAGCCACGGGGGCGTGGAAATCAGGGCAGATATTCTTTTGTATCGAACTGTATCGGAAATGTCGGCGTTGTCAAATCATGAAATTGTCCGCCTCGCTATTCATGGACGCCATCTGGACAACCAGCTGACAGGTAATATATCCTCGTATAGAAGTTCATCGGGATCTACCCCGTTCACGATTATGGCATTTTCAAGCGTAGACCGGGACCGGGATTAGGAATCGTCGATGCCGCCGAGCGTCGATAGCAACGCCGGAACTGGAAGGTCCACAAGATGGTGAAACCACGTGCTTGGACCCTAGTTCGAAGAACCCTCCGTTATTCGCTCTCGAATCGTCCACAAGCGTTCGTCTCCGGTTCTGGTAGAATTCGATCGTCGTGACATCCATTTCCATCATTGTCATCGATGACAACAAGCCGTTGACGTGGCCGACTGACCACGGACTGTAATACAGCCGGCGGAATGAATGCCAACTGATAATCGCTGAGGACGTCAAACACGAAAACTACGACATCAACGCGTGTCGGAGCCTTAATTGGTGATTTCGACATTCGATCGAATATTGCTGCCGGAAAAGAGGGCAAATTTCTCTCCGGGCTCGATTGAATAAACCGATTTGGAATATATCCGGAGGTGGGTAGGATCTAAGCCTGCTCCGCCTCTCGGGAGAATTCGCCGAAACCCAGAGGAAATACGGGTCACCGAGCGGTGAAATAGGGTCTCGAAGGAGCCCACGAACGGGATTGAGGGAATTTTCGGTTCGATTGCTCACCATTTTGAAGGTTTTTCAGTGGTCCTGGGGCTCACTAAAAAATCTTCACTCGCACGATGGCGGTCTGCGATGAAAAGGAATCGACACACGCGACGATTGGTCAGCTTTAAGAGCTTTCGCTGTAACGCCACCAGGGGGCCAGGCGGCGAGGCGCCGTTTTCGAATTCATACCCCTGAAGCCCGCGCGCGGCGCTACCTTTCATTTCTGAGTGAGTCGATTTGACTGCGATTCGATCGATTTGCCCTCCTGATTGCCGAATTGCCGACCAGAGACAGGCGGAAATGGAAGCCATCCGCAAGGGACTCACGGGGTCAGAATCCAATATTTTTCGGAACGGACCGCAACACCGTGAACTCATGCAGGAATGGGCAAGGAGTGCGGGACTTTTGTTCCATCCGACGATACGATCCTTGATTGTCTCTGATCCGCATCAATGCTGCGGCTAGATCACCACGTTTCCCCTAGAATCACATCCGCGGGAATGCTGAACGCATTCAAAAATGGATTCTCTGTAGGGAAGCTTTCTGTGCGTTCGGGAGCGATTTCTTACAGAGTTCCCTGAGTGAGGCATCTGTTCGAATGAATGATACAGCGGTCTCGGCGGCTCCGCTCGCGGGTAGTCAGCTCAGCGTCGGATGTCCCCGTGGGTGATAGAAGACGACATTCGGGTATAGGAGACGCGATGACGTAGACGGCGAGTCGCAATGCGGGGGACGGAGGGGGTTCATTTCAAGGAAGGAAGTAAGCTCGTGAATGTAGACCGTCTATGCACCGGGGCTCGCCCGCAGAGGATAGGAGCATTTTTCGCTCATCGGAGAGCGCCCTTCTTTCCGACGGCAACGGAAAATACCTAATCAGATACTTGGTCTCATCTCATTTTCTTATTCGATTAGTCTAATCTCATCTTCCTACTGTCTGAAACTTCTTTTCACCATTCGCAGCATGTTCGATCGCATCATTCTGATTGGCTGCGCTTATACATCTCGATCTCCCATGAATTCCTGAGGGTCGCTGGCAAGAGTCACAACGCAAGGGACCATTAAAGAAATATCCCGATCGAAACCTATAGCCAAAGCGATTTCATCCAAACGTCTCCGACCCTGCCGAAGAGATCAGGCGAGCCCAGAAGAGAAGGTAGGGCAAGTCTTCCCCGCGGTGATTGATCATTGTGCTTCGATTTCTTTTTCCGCACTGAAGTATCGGATTATTCGCAGGCAATGAAAACCCCCAATTGAGGTAGAGGAGAATTCCGCGACATGATCTCATACGCTGTCTATGAAGCCCGATCCAGGTTCGTATTTGATCCCTAAGGATTCTCCTCGGAGGAAGCCGACAGACACTGCTCCGTCTCCCTCCGCCACGGAGCTCATCGCACGCTGGGAATGGAGGACGTTCCTCCGGCAGCTTAGAAAGCTTTCGCCACCCTTGAATCCTCGAGTCGAGTCCTCGAATCAGGAGTCGCATCTGGATGGAATTCAAATTTGCCGGCACATGCTCGCTTCTTGTCAGCAGCCGGTTGTGCTGACGCGTGGAACGACGTTGTGACGTGAGCGACTGCTTTTCCAGCATTCGGATCAAGCAGTCATTGAACGACTGCAATCCATTGCGGAGGACTTCTTTCTACGGGGGTCGTTCGAAGATTGTTGGAAATCTTCGGAGCGCTAACTGTATAAAATTGAGTCATGATGTCGAAGCAGAAAGCCCCAGAGACCATGTCCAAAGCGGTTCTGGCTATTGAAATAGTGGTCAGAATCGTGATCCTAGTGATAGTTTTGTGAGTACAATATGTTTCTTACGCGGGCTGCAGTGGAGAGGAACGGTCATGCCAAACAGGACGGGAGGGATTGACAGAGGGAGGTCGAGGCTGGGCTACCATCGGAAATAAGATTGTCTCTATTATACTCAGGGCGCTGGAACACGCGGAGCCGTTCGAGCGTAAAATACACCTCGAGGAAAGTTGGTTGTACATGAACCCAAAAACAGACAGTTATGTCTCGACGGGATTACTATTCGTGAGTCTAGGAGAATCGACCCATACCGTGAAATCATTGCGAGGATCTTAACGAGAGGTGAGCATCGCCGGTGCGCTAACCATTTTTTTCCCGCCAATTACAGTTCCTGGCGTTGGTCACGCCATCTGTCTGTATAGTGACTATAAACTCCTTGTTTGAATGCAATAGATCTGATGTGAGCGCCGCGCACATGGGTACGGAACATTCGACACAATGACGCGATTCGAGGGGTGTCGACGTGTCCTAGATCTAAAAGATCATCTCGATGATTCGACTTTCAACAGGTTATATTTTGGCGCTCGGACTCTCAGCGATTTTGACGGACAGCCTGAAAGTCATCGTGGGGAGGTATGATTGAAGGCGCTGCGATCTCCTGCATGCTCTTCACCGAGAGATCGCTGAGTGAACTCTGCCGATCTCGTTACAGACCGAGACCCGACTTCTTCTTCCGGTGTTTTCCCTCTGGTGAGGGGAACTTCTCGATGCCTTGCACCGGATCGCCGCGTAGTGTAAGAGAAGGCAGGAAGAGTTTTCCCTCAGGACACTCTTCCATAGCGTTCTCTTCGTTCACATTCCTGAGTTTGTATCTCCTCGCTAAATTAGAGGCTCTGAACTCTACGTCCAGACGTCTGAGAACGCATCGCGTCCTGCTAGGCGGACTGCCTCTGTACGCGGCTCTTCTTATTGCTCTAAGCCGAACTTGTGACTACCATCACCATTGGCAGGGTATTTTAGATTCAGAATCGCAGTTCAAATCACCAGGAATCAAAATCACCAGGAAGGGATTTTGACCCTCCGAGGCTCATCGATTCTCGTCTTTCAGACGTTCTCGTGGGAAGTATAATCGGTCTGGTCATAGGATACTTATGCTACAGACAGCAATATCCATCGGTCTTCGACACGGATGCCGCGACTCCCCTGGCGGAATTCCCGGCTCTCGGCCTCAATTTCCCCGACAGACTCAAAGAAATGAAATCAGGAACGAGCCAGACGATAAAGCCACTGCAGAAGTGGATCTGAGTTTCTAGACCTGTTCGAACTGAGGACTCGGGGTTGTACTCCGCAAGTAACCACGAAACGTCCTCAAGCGGTGACTGAGGGTGCCTGACCCGGGTCAAACTTCCAGGAATCTCGCACAATTGAATGCGCACCATGGACCGAATAAACTGGGATCATTCTCGAATCAGTATGTCAGGGCATTCGCTCAGACGGGGGAGAAGAAATATTGTAAAACTTGAGAATGACTTCAGTTCCTCGATTCTTACATGGGATCCCGACCGGGATTTCCTGAATGGACTTAATTGCCCCTCGAATCTATAGATCATGACCCGATCATATCGAATAACTTTATTCGCTCACTTCGATTTTTTGCCGCCCCTCTTCTTCCCAGTGCTCAGCTTAATGACACTCGAGCTTTGTTTGTTTTTGCCATTATGCTTCTTGAATCCTCTTCCTTTTTTCAACCGCTGCGATACCTTCGATTTCTTGTTCCCGAACAGTTGATAATGTCTCTTCCGCTCCCACTCTAGTTGCTTCATGTCGGAAACCTGTCGGCAGAAGGGTCAAATGAAAGGGGTATGTATCTTCCCGATAAGGGCGATGGAAGCAGCGACTGTTTATAAGCAGGCACATACCTTATTCGAAGCTCTGGTGGTGGCCGACATCGCGTTTAGTGATGCTGAATCTCCAACTCTATTGCTTTCGAATATTTCACCCAATTTCTCGGTGGCCAAGTCCTCCTCACCCACTTTGTGATTCTTTTTGGAGGTTTTATTCAATTTCCCTGGAGACGAAAAATCGAAATTCAACGTGAGTTCCTCGATTGAATATCATCGTTGTGGTTTCACTGATATGCTCACAGCGTACCTTTCGGTTTTCCCCCGAACTCCTCATCTTCAAAGTTATCCTCATCGTCTTCGTCTTCTTCTTCAGCATCGTACTCGCTGTTGTCGTCATCCATCGGTACATCGCCTCCATCAGAGGAGTCGTCTCCCATACCCTCCTCGAACTCCTCGCTCTCGTCTCCATCGCTCGCGTCTTCTGAGCTCTTGACCAATTTCTTCTTCCCGTCTTTGAATTCAGAGTAGAAGTCGTCCTCGGGATCATCGTCGAAATCCATCTGCACAGAAACGAGAGCTTCAGAACCGATTTTTTCTAGCTAGTAGCTCTCTTTGCGGACACAGGCCAAATGTGTCCCATCCCGAAGGGAATCAAACTCACGTGATTATCGATGTCCCCGAGGAACTCGTCGGCTTCGTCGGAGTCTAGATCTTGCATCTCTGTCCCGCCTCGCCTCTGATTGACTCCGCTACCATCGGTCCGTCGACCAGTTTCAACAAAATATTTGTACAGGAAGGCTTCATCGACGGGGATAGCTTTCTCGTGTCTATTCATGTAAGCGGCCGAACCCACCGGCATCGATCTGATTCCCTTCGGATGATATTCTTGCGCTCTGCCGAATATCTTATCGTGGGCCTTCGAGAGAGGGGAAAACGCATTAGAAGGATCTAGCGATTGATCTCGGAGGTGTATTTATGCTGGGAGAGCCGGGCGGACGTATAGGGACGCTATCCGATGACTCGACGGAACTCACATCGTGTGACTGGGCTTTGGGGTTCCGGTATACGAATCTGTCGAGGAAATGCATGAGACTGAAATCTTTCAGAGGATCCCCGTAGTATTCGACGCCCTTCTCGGTGTGATTCAGGATCTCGGTCGCGAAAAGCGACACACTCGGATGGTAATGCTTGGAAAGCGCGTAGAGCTCGTAACACAGGGTTCGCTCGGCTCCGGCCTTGAGCGGATTATCCGTGTGAGAATCGTATTTCCTATTCACTTCTTTCGGGTTTATCTGAACGCCTTCAACGATTTTCGGCTCTTTGGGGTAGTTCAGGAGCATGTTGGGCCGCTCCTTCAAAATGTGGGAGACCACCAATAGCATGGAACACGCCAAGTTTGGAGGATACGTCAAGCAGAGCTGCGGAGAAAGAGGACCAAGGTGAGCACAGCCGTCGAGAGAGAGAATCACCATGGTTCCGATTCGGCACGCGGCGTGTGAATCGAAACACCTAATCATAATTCACCTGCAGCATTCTCTTGATGAAAGCAATGACTCGAGTCTTCTCCTGGTCTCTTTTGACGGCTTTATAGACCAAGTTGAACATCATTAACTGGTGGTGGGTTACAGCGACAGCAGGGTCCTGAATCTTCTTATACAGAGCACTGTAGAAACGTGACGTGAGGCCAGAGTTCTTCTTGCTCAATACCTGATGGACAGCGGGCCTACGGTTGGATTCTCATCGAATTGCCTCAATTTTTTCCATTCTCGAGGTGATAAGCCGAGTATCATCATCATCATCATTCGGAGTAGAACGGGCGAACTCACTTGGAATAAGAGCATGAGACACTGTATGGCGATGGGGAGAGACGCCATGTATATCAACCTGAAGAGAACATCTTCGTTCTCGCGCGAAATCAGCTCTTGATCCGTGGCGCAGAACGGATGGGCTCGGTTGATACCGGTAAGCAAGACCGACATGAGTTTTGTATCGGCTTCGCCCTCTTTGACGCACAGTTTGAAGAAATTCAGATAAATCTGCACCAGCTTGTATGCCAAATCGTACTCGTCGTTCGACAACACGACCGTGGATAGATAGCAGAGCGCGTAGTACTGCGCCTTAGGTGAGATGTTCTTCCGGAATACGAGAGACTCGACCTCGGATAGAACAACCGGTTTCATGGCTGGATGTTTATTGGTCAGCTCGGAAAGAACGTGCGAGGTTTTCGCAGCGATTTTTCTCATCGGATCGCCAAACTTGTTCACCAATCGAGTCAGCAGAAATTGTTCTTGCTCTGGGTTCTCACACAATAGCCTGCAAGATACGAACGTCGATTGAATCAGATCTTCAGCAACAGAAATCAGGATGAGGGCTTAAGGATCGAGCAGCGAGCATATGAAAATCATGTGGATGCTCCTGCACCACTTACGTGAATAGGGTCTTGACGGTTTTCGACTTGGAAGCTTCCACCTTGTCGTAACCAAGTTTCTCTATATTCTCCAAGAATCTCATGTATTTCTTCTTGAGCTGGCCTTCGAAATACCACAAAACGCATCGACTCCTGTCTGTCTTTTTGGTCATGTCGAGCTTATCTAGAGGTCTGTTCTCGAAGGGCACCAACTTCCGGCTGGGCGGTAGGAGATACTGAACGAAGATGTCGACGAGAGCATCTGGAAGGAACGGAAATCCCCTCACGTACCCCGAAAGGATCTCGGCGAATGAAGCGACAGCAGAATGTTCCAGTTCTCCGAAGACCTGGGGCACTCACCGAGGGCGAGGAAGCATTCGCGTTTGCCTTTCGGAGACACCCATTGGATCAGGGTATCTAAACTCTCGACATTATGAACCGGTGAATCTTGTATGAGGAGTGTGTAGGCGGCGGTCCGATCTTGCAACGATCCTTTCTTCCGCACCATTTCTATCCAGCGGAAGTCGCTTTTCGCAGCTGACTGTTCCTTGTCTGTGAAGAGGAATTTCGTGAAGGTCCACGACCGTCAGGGCTTAGAATTCCGGAGGATTGGACCTCAGACGGTCACCGTCAATAGATGTCGAAAGGGTTCGTGGGTGGAAGACTGTTCGAAATTCCTTTACTCACAAGACTGGTAGAGTGGCGCTTCTTCTTCCAGCAGCCTTAAGCATTCTTGCGAGAGTTTTTGTACGAGATTCTCGTTGATGGAACATCGGTCCGGCGGACTCGGAACTTGCTCGTACCATCGCGTGGTTGGTCTCACCAACAATTTATTCATTCTGATTTCCGACAATCACTCACAATGGGGACAGCGAGTTTCCCCCGAATATCGGACCGCAACCTCCTGAGTTGTGCAATTCTGACGGAAATTTAGCAGGAAAAAACTGTGGGCCGATCAGTGCGGCAGTTTTCGCGGTTCAGAACGAAGGGAACCCTCATGCGTGAACTATAAGCCACTTGCGCAGAGCCAGAGAGAGCACGAAGGCGCTCTTCACGTGTTGATGTTTGTTTACAGCACTAAGAGGTGTACTACAAGTTCCGAAACGCCGGCAAGGATAAGCCCAGGTCTGGGATTACGGATCGCTATGCGGCCAGACTGTAGCGCGCGGTACAGCGCCGTCTGGCGGGAGTAGTGCTCGAACCCTCAGACGAGCCGATACGACTCACAGAGTTCGATAGACAGACTCCTGGAGCGATGCACAGTGGATTTGGAAATCATTGACTCTTCCTAAATTAAGGAATCTTCCCGGCGTGCTCGCAAACGGTCGAAGAAAGCCGTTGGAGGAGCTTCGAGGGTAAGTATCGCGGGATCCAGAGCTCTCCGCTTGCGAAGAGTCGTATGCGCTTCGCCAAGCAGCTGACAGCAACTCTTCGGGATGACAGTGAGAGTGTGTGCGCCTTGGAGGAAGCAATTCATTATTGGAGAAACGAGCATGGTGTAATGAACCTATTCTCAACGCGTCGAGCATACGAATCGAATTCGGGAATGTCTCCGAGCTTCGTCGGAGAAAAAAAACCTTATCCATGATATCGAAACTAAAGGGGAAACCTGCGTGGGTTCTGTCGGAAACGAAACAATTACATTGGGCAAATGTCCCCGCTCAGGCTTCCTATATTATGCTGTTGTACTCCTCGAGACGAATGAATAAGTAAATCTCAAAAGCTGATTCTCGATCCAGGGTCCATACCGCCGTTTGAAATTTGAGCATGGCAACTGCGAATTCAGAAGAGTCAGCTGTATCGGTCAGGAAATCACTCGTGAATTTTGTAAGGGGCCGCACCGGACAGGACATCGAAGGGTGAGTTTGAGACTTATTCGGTGAACCTCCTGGCTGCTTAAACCGAGCGGAAAACCGAGCTCCATATCTGCAGCGATCCGAGAGTTTGGAGCAACGGAGTCAGAATCCTCCACGAGCCTGATTGAAATCTAAGGGCGAAGCTCCAGACGACATATCGACTTGACTCGATCTGCGCCCTCTGAAATTTTCTCACGTATCGTGACTCTTGTGGCTGATTCGTTCGTGACTCGGCAGTGCTTCTCTGAAAGTCGGGAAGCTAGCGTAATGCGTTACTGTGGATAAGCTTCTCTGCTCACGTCTCCCTCCGGATGATACACCCGTCCATTATGCTTAGCTGCAGGAAATCGCTCTTAGGATGAGGATTCCGCATCAGCTTTAATGTCTCACTTTGAATTTCGTCTCCAGAACTATCGATGACTACCTGGTAAATTATCTGCTGGCTATGTTCGATCCCGAGACGTTTGACGATGATTTCGATATCGAAGCACTCCGCGAGATGCTTTCGGCCTACGTGCCCGCGGTGAACCAAATCGAAGAGTGAGTGACACCTCCCATTCCGAATTATTCTATTCGGGTCGAGCGAGTCTTGAGGCTTCTAGGCGGCTCCCTTGTGAGAGTTTCATCAATCGTTTGCCTTGCAGCACGGAGCTAGTGGGCTGGGTTCACGACATTTCCCGCGTTCTCTCGCGGGAAGAGAATGACGCTCCCACAATCTCTCTCGGTAGCTCACTAGTGAATTTCAAAGCCTCGGCGTCTTCACGAGCAAAACCGAAAAAGGAGATTGGCTGTAAAACGGACGAGCCTGAGCTGAAATCCAAAGGCAAAATCGTGAGTCATCGGCCCAAAATCGTTCCGGAGTAAAATATACAGAACGGAGCTGATTCCGCGGACATTCACATTTGCTCACTCCAGGACGAGACCCGCGTCGATGAAATCGCGTTCGACGCTCTGACCGAGATGTTCCCGCACAAGAACGCACTTCGAATTCGTAAGTGTCTGATGATCGCGAACGGGGAAGTCGACACTGCCGCGCAACTTCTCCTCCAAGACGACGGTCTGGGCAAAGATGAACTCGTGCTCAGCTCCACCGAAATGACCTCACCGAAAGCCCAAGTCGACGAGAAGACTCTCAGGGACCAGATCATCAATCGGTGAGCGATAATTCTCATCCGCGTCAAAATAGTCCTGCCCTTGCCGGAACTGCTCGGATCGTTCACCAAGCCGCTGTCCGATTGCAGGTATGCATATTTGGATGTCGACGAAGACAAGAAAGAGCACAAGCCGGCGGTGCCGAAAGCCGAGCCAAAGAAACTCATCCGCTACCGGGACAACAAAGTCGTCTCTGTGAAAGGCGAAAGATTCACCTTGGAGAAGAAAAGTCAAGATGTCGAGAACTGACCAATGCTTCGGGGGATTTCCGCGCCGGTCACGCTGCGGACTGAAGTTCCCACCCCTACAGAAGCTTGTCATTCAACTCTCCTGATATACGTCGTCAATATCGTAGCTCGTCAGTTGATAGTCACTTCGCATCAAAACGCCTCGCTATTGGCTCATCGGAGTTCGTAACCAATCCTTGATCGGAGACGCTCCGACCAAGCTCAAAATTGTGCATAAGCGGCTGCTGTGAAATGAGAGGATACGGGTGTTCGGAATGTGGAGCCGATTGTGGGCTTCGGAGTGTTTGTAGGGTGATTGCTTGTTTTCTATGACGTTGGGACGAAAGAATGCTGATGAGTGAAGGAACGTGAATCTCCGGCGGGCGGATGTTTGTTCATGAGAGCGATGAGATTTGACCACCCGAACAAAGGCTCCTCGGCCGCCGAGGCCATCACAGAAACCTGACGATTGAAGGCTTCAATCAAATTGTGATCTCAAATTTACTCTGTATGTACATGATGATATACGTTTTCCAACCCGCTCGGCTCCCGCTCGAGGAGGCGCGAGCCATCCTTGTTGCGAGAACAGACAAAAAAGTCAAACTGTGATGCGAAGTGACATCGACTGACATTTCATTCCCTGCTTGATGCACAGAGTTTGGATCTTAAGTATTCATCAAGAAATACGCGGTGCTCCAACTGCGGAATCGAGTCCGATTCTCAAAGATCTCGATGGGAGTCACTATCCCTCCGAGAAAAGATTAATGAGAGAGCCAGCGCATTTACCGCTTTTTGAGGCGCTCTAATAATTTTCTTTGCCTCTAGTAGGATCCCCTTGATATCTTTAATTTAAGCCGCTTCACTATTGTTGGCATATATCCATTTCTGGTCGCGGTCTAGCTGAATGCCAGCCGCGGGGTATCATCGCGCCTTCGTTCAAGCGTCCGATTAGCCTCCGTCTCAGAACGGAGCGAAGATTTTTTTCCTATGTGCCCTCGGAATCGAACCTCTGAAGCTCGGACTTCTTCTTCCTTGAAGACACAGATCAAGTCAATGAGCTTGCCCCACGCATCCGACAATGAGGTGTAAGATTCTACCACCTATCATATAATTTCCTGTACTCGGTGCTAGTTTTCCCCATCATGTGTATCTCATTCGTGTATTTCATTCGTGCTCTCCTGAGGCTCGATCTGACACTGGTTTCTCGATTCAATACTTCGAGATGAGCAATCATGACAAGGAATGCAGAATAGAATAAAATACTGAACGTTGGTGACCGAGAGCAGCACTCATTCAATTTAGGGAGTACACTTCACAAGCTCAAGGAGTTAGGCTTGAAGCGCTTCTCGAGGGATTTTTCTGGGCGGAAACTTCGTCCTCTCCCGGTTTCTTCGGGGTTGTCATCACTTGACAGCATCGGGGAGAATGGGGAGCTGTTATCCGGCTCGTTAATAATACGTCCATATATATACATGAAACATTCGTCTGTCTGTTGCTTGTTCCTCGTGGCTCCTATGGTTGACCCGATCGCCGTGAAAATTTAGGGGTGGGTTCTTGGGAAGTGTCGGACGCTTGAAGGGGGGTCGTCGTTTCCAAGCGATGAGTACCTCTAGCTTTAATGAATAATAATTTGAAAGCTCCACCCTTCGAGAAGCACACTTTTGAATAGATGGGGGAAAACAGGAGCAGAACTCCTCAAGGGCGGAATGGAAGAGCCAGAAATGGGAAAACGAGAAGCAAGCGGGAAGTCGGGAATCGGGAACATGTCAATAAGGTGAAGGTACGCGAGTCAACGGCTCGAGGGGGAACGGGGATGCGGGACACGGGGAATCGGGCGGCGGGGAAACGGGCGGCTGGGAAACGGGGAGAGGAAAAAACGGAGGAGAGGGAAAGGAGGAGACGGGGAGCCCGGGAATCAGGGGAACTGGAAGCCGGAGAACAGGAGCCCGGTTCCACGGGGAGGGGGGTGATCGGAAGCGCGGGTATCGGAGCCGGGAAAGCGGGACCACGCCGAACAGGATTGAGTCCGTAGTTGGCTGAGAGGAGAATGGCGAAACCGGATACCCAGGACACGATGAAGGCGGGGAGGGAAGAGCAGGAGAGAAAACGGAAATTATTAGTACAAGAGGAGGGGGAACGACGCGGAACACACTGAGAGCAAGCCCACTCAAAGCAAGCGCGCTCACAGCGAACGCCTCCGGATCAAGCGCATCTGTGGAGAGTCCAGTGTAAAATAAAATCGTGGATCAAACTTTTTCGTCAAAATTTATTTACAGTGAACAACATGCATCCTCATTCTTAATGACTCTTCGAGTCAGTATCGACGCAAACTCTCTTATCTCTTCCCTCGAATATGAGAAACTCTTGAAAGGCGAGATGAGATACAAGAACATACTACGACAAAGTCATTCCTGCGATGTCGTTTTTCGGGAACAGATCCTTATTCCCAGGTGCTCTCGTCTTATTCGATGGAGGTGATTCCCGGTCTCGAGTAGAGTCGCTGATAGCGACCTCTCGAATTAAATACTTCAACTTTTTCAAACATTCTGAATAATGTAAAAACATCCAAAAGACACTTCAGAGCCGGCAATCCGCTCGGATTACATTCGGAACCTCGATATAGATACATGCTTCATCTCCTCGGTGTGTAGCTGTCGTCTCGATACTAGGATCAGTTTCCCGACATGCGGGCTCTCGACTGTCAGGAGAAGAAGAGTACAGGGAGGACCCGGGTACCACCGCTGCGTATTTGCGGCAAGAGTCTGAGCTCTATCACATTTCCAGTCGGTCACTTAAAGAATCGGACTATCACGTCATTTCCGAATACATACATTCCTGTGCGAAAATTCTTCCGCTTCCATTCAGAGTTTGCAGTTGGCAGGGCAGAGGACAATTTTGAATGCATTGTCTTTGCGTCCGAACACAACGAACGCAGCACAAAGACTCGATTCAAACGTTAGTTCCCGGATTTTGTCGCATATAGACCCGTAGTACGCTTTCGTTGAGGACGAATCGGTCCTTTCTAGGAGGTCTTTGACGCTCGCGCTGAATGCTTTCTCGTCGCTCTCGACGTTCAGGCTAACCACGAAATTGCGTACATGATGGATGTCCATGTCCACAACGATCACCTCGACGAAAAGTTTGTCGTTGATGCACCTGAAGAGGGTGCCTTTCAGAACCGTGACGACGTGATTCTCCACCCGCTTCCTCTGGAGAGCGCTCAGCTTCTCCTGGGATAGAATATTAACTTTTATCAAACTCTCAACAGTGAAGGGCCTGTCTTCCTTCTTGTTCAAGCTGACGTTCTCTTTTGAGTTTCCCTGCGTTTCGGATTTCTCTGTTTTCTCGAGCTTGGCGGTGATCGCCTTCGCCGCTGTGGAGATGGGAATCCTCTCCTCGCCGTATTTATATTTCTCGAAACTGCGGACTTTCACCATACCCGGCTCGGTATCTTTCAGCAGAAGAACCAGATTCACGTTAGTGTCTCGACACTGCTGAGAAACCTCTTCAACGCTCAGGGCTGGATTCATGGTTGTACAGCTCAAGTTATTTGTCCACAGAGATCGGAGGAGCTCGAAGCGCTCGATGTTCATGGGGTCGTGTCCTGTCGAGCACAGAACCGAATCAACGTACGATGTTTTGTCGTACTCGGTGGCGAGCCTCACGAAATTGTCGACGCTGAAGCTTACGCCAACCGCTTTGTACACAAGCAGTTGTTCCTGTCTATCGGCGCCTTTCCTGAAGCTGTTGACGATGTTATCGTAGCGACCGCCTCTACACAAAATTTCCAGGAATTTTTTAGTTTTGGATTTTTTCGACACGGTCCGAACAACTTCGAACGTCAGACCGCTAATGTTGACGTTGTAATCGTGCACGAGGCAAGGCACGATGAACCAAGGTCGCGAGAACGAGATGCTTTCAAGAAAAACTCTGATCGCATCCAGCTCTTCGAAAGCTTCGGCAGCGACTTTGCTCGCGGGAGTTCTCCCGTGGAGGATCCGCGCGTAGAACGCCTGCACGGCGGGCAGCGAGTCCTCAACATCGCAAAACTGTAGAAGTAGATTGATGGTATTTTCCGACAGCGAGAGATCGGCCAGGCGATTCTGCAGGTGAAGTTTAGACATTTGACGCGATCCCCTCAAGACTTTCACAACTTTCTCCTGTTTGCTCTCGTCGCCCACCCCTGTGTAAAGCAGGAGCGCTCTGAGAAGACCGAAATGATTCAACAAGAGTTTAGGTGCGCATTCGGGGTTCTCCATGAAGGCGAACTTTGAAAGCACTTCATCGACGACCGACAAAACTTCGGCTTGATGAAGCTTGCTGTCGTCGGAGGCGCTCGTGGCGATGATATCGAAGCTGCATTCGAAGAACATCTTCGGATGACATCTGTAGACTCTCTTTGAGCGGTACACGCGATCGATAATGTAGCGTTTGACGAAGGACAGACCTTTTCGTGCGACGAAACGCGCGAACGGAACGCGTGAATCTCTGGGCAGGTGTACCAGACAGCCATCCTGGTCCATGAGACACGAAACATTGTCCTCGTTGTCGTAGAGGTTGCATTGCGGCGACAGCAGAGGAACATAAATATTCTGAGCACCGTGCAGCTTCATTATCGTCTCGAGGCGCTCTCTGATAAATGAGAAATACATCGAGTACCTAATGTAACAATCCGTTTCGCGTACGTCGTCGTTGTCGTACAAGTACTCGTCGGTGTAGTTCCATTCTTGCTGGAACAACGATCCAAGTAGCCGTTTGTATAGTTTGCTCCGGGGATTGGAGACCGTTTGTCGCAGCATTTCATTGAGTTCCGCTTCCTCGATGACTGGCGGTGGGAGATACTCCGAGGCTAGCAGATCGGACGACGATGGCCGCTTCAGAGGGTCGTGTTGCAGAAGCCATCTCAGCAGGTGGATCTGTTGTTGACTGAGGTAATCCTCTGCGTTGTCTGGGAGTTTTATTTCCGGATCTCTGATATTGGTCAGGTTCCGGGCCCTCTCCATTTTGGTTTGACAAGGATACGACATCTCGAAAAATATCACCCCGAGAGAGTATATGTCCACCTTCTGCGAATAGACCCGGTCGCTGCTCGACTCGGGTGCCGTGTAAAGGAACGTTCCCACCATCCCGGTTTTCCCTGCGTGGGGACCCGACATGTCCGGAGACTTCGCCCCTCCGGGCACGTCGTGCTTCGAGAACGGCGTTGTGGTGGCCAGACCGAAATCGCCGATTTTCGCCCTGTCGTGCACGTCCAAGAATATATTCACCGGTTTCAGATCTCTGTGGATCATCCCCTGCTGGTGGATGTGGACCAAACCCTCAATTATCTCGCGGAACAGTCTCCACATGCGGTCGGTCTCTCTGTGGAGGTCGGCATCGATGGCGTTCCTCAACGTTTGCTTCTCACAGAACTCCATCTGTATGAACATGAATTGGATCTGGTGCGTCGACGACGCTGGCCGCGAGCTCTCGGGCTTCTGATCTTCCTCGTCCTCGAACGACGAAAGACCGCTGGCGCGCTCGAACTTGATGCTCGAATCTGATTTTGGTCCGAGGTTGAACAGCTCGTTGTCCTCGGACGAATCGGACGATTCATCGTGCTCGTTCTCCACGACGTGACTCAACGACACGCTCCATTCCGTGGTGCCTTCAACGAACGCGGGAGCTTCGAGCTCGAGCAGGGTCTGCTTCAGAACACATGAGAGCGACTGAGACTTGCGGGGTGAGGCCGAAAGCGGCACGTCCTCACAGACCTTCTGAATGTCTGCTACCTCGATCCAGGAGTTATAATATCGGACCACGTTTTCGTGATTCAGTCTCGACAAGAGCATCACTTCTCTGGTGATACGGCGATGCAAGCTCTTGTGCTTCGTATCCAGGGGGATTTGTTTGATGGCGTAGACGCGACTGTCGAGTTTATTGCGTACCTTTATCACAGAACCGAAGCCTCCGCTACCCAGAAACTTCAAAATCTCGAACTCTGTCTTCAGCCGGCTCGTGGACGAGAGACGGTTGTACGACGTGAGCATTCGATCGGCGCCATTGCTCTCCGGCTCGAGAGCCTCATCGCTGCTCTCGAGGGACTCGATGTTGGAATCGCTCGTCGCTTGACTGGAAAGCTGCAGCGATTTCCGATATGCGATTTTCTGCGTGATGAATCTGTGTTGTAACAGCTGTTCGATGTCCCAACGCTCAGCTTCGTTCACGGCGAGACATTTCTGAAGGAAGTCCTGGAAATCGCTCGGTAACGAAGATGGAACTTTGGCGGCCTCTTCGCTAATCTTCGATCCTTTAGCGAGAGACAGAATCAGCACTCCGAGCTGGAATACATCGAATTTCTTTGCGTCGGACTTTCGAATTTTCGCGTATTTCGCCTCGTCACGGCCCTGTGAGATCCTCATTGCCTCATGGAGGTTCTTCACGACACCGAAATTCCCTGTTTTCAAGCTTCCTTTCTGGTTGACGAAAACATTTCCTACTCTCAGATCGCCATGAATGAGATCGTTCTGGTGGAGGTGAAATATAGCACTGAGAATGTCCTGGCAGTAAAGGCGAAGCACCTGTAGATCCAGCGCAACGCCTCTCGACGTGTGGAGCGTCAGTGGTGCGTGAGCTGTTAGCATCTCCTGGACTATCGATATGGAAACTTTGTCTTTCTGAGATTCTTCGAGGATTCCGTAGAAGCGAATGAGATTCGGATGTTGTACTCGACAGAGTTTTCCGAATTGCGATTCCACGTCTTCGAGGAGGGATTTCTGCTGTGGGCTCAAGACTGTCTCATTCGAATCTGAAAGGAAGTACCCGGACCCATGTTATCGGGGACGAGGACATTGACTTTCAGGAAATCGGGGCGTACGTATTATAAATTTCTGATCGGATGGGTTTGAGTGAAAAGAACGCAAGCGCCCACCTTTCAGCGAGAAAACCCATTCTCGTAGGCAGAAGATCTCTCCAGAAGAAACCTCCATAGCCGTGTACGTTACGTTGCCTCTCGACGAGTGTCCGATGCACTTCCCTCTCTGGAGGAGCCTCTCTTTACCGTTGATTGTGATTTTGATTTGTAATGATTTGTGTCCTTTACAAGAAACACTCGCTGAAATTTTGGAGCTCTATTAGAAGCTCGTTCCATCGCGAAAAGACCAGCACATCATCGCACCCAGAGTTCGAGCGAGGCACAATGTGGAAGCGAGTTCTTAGTACATACATTCGGAGTCGTCGGGACTCTTATCGGAGGAGTAGCTGAGTCGCAAATCGTTCTGGCCGATCGAGTTCGCTCTCCTTCGACGAGCCTCTTCTTTCAGCTGTTCCTGTTTCGCCCGGATCTCTCGAGCAAGCTCCAATCGTTGCTTTTCTTCCTCTTCCTTTAATCGTGAACAGAGCGAACGACTCAATTATGATGCTCCGATAAATCAGTCACGTGCTGATCGGAGAATGGAGGGTCTATCTATACATAGAGAAGCGTCGATGCACTCACTTCCTTCTTCGCCTGGAGGGTTTTCTGCTTCAGTTCTCGTTCCTCTTGAAGCTTCCTCTTGTTCTGGATCATCTCATCGTAGATCGATACAGTTGGCATATTGAAGGGAACGAGGAACTCCTGGACGTGTTGGCACAGATTCAAAACCATGACCTCGCCCTTCAGACTCTCGGCCAGTTTTTTGAGTTCTGTGAGCAAGTCGTTTACTGAATTTGAGGGCACGTTTGTGCTGTCGAGAATTTCCACAGAAGGAACCGTGTCCGGGTACTTGGGCCCACACAGCACACGCAGCGTGAGCTCTGCGTAAGCCGTGTGCGAAGTCATGGATTCTTGAGGACGAAGTTGGATCTTCACGTCGACAGGTTGCCATACCTGGAAGCCGTTCTTGACTTCTTTTGAAACACATTTAGACTGAAATGCGCATTCTTAGTCTTTTTGTCCGAAAGACAAGGAGCGAATGGGATACGAACGTTAGCCTCAACTGACCTTCCAAGCGATTTTCTTCGAGCGTAAATCGACTATGTCCCCCTGGTAAATGGATTTGAGCACCTCGAGTTCCTCCTCTTGACGGGTGGGGTAGTCATTAGACATTCTTGCCCGGGTGGAGTTGCGCTTCACGACGGGAAGTACATTTGTCCCGCCTGTAAGAGTAAAGATGGATGAATTTCAAGAAACCGACCTTATTCTGGTATATAAGCGAGGACGGCAGGGAATGAAGATCGGTATCGAGACATGAGCTCCACTGCGGAGAAATTTCGCCCCGCAACCCGAGGGGAATAGTCCATGCCCGAGCGCCGGCGCCCGGCGTACGATTGTCACTCATGTGGCTCATCGGGGAGGCGGAAGCAGTGAATGGCTTCACGGCTCGACGGTACTGAGCGGCAGCACCACACCGACTCTTCGAATTCTCCACACGACTTCTTGCTTGGAGGAGATAATAAATTATCGCTGCTGGAGCTCCTCGATGCCTCCCCTCAAACTCTGTCCCCTCGACAGGAACAATCGTCATCATCCCGATTCCGCAAAATTCAGTCGCCGCCTGATGGACTCGCTTTTTGATACGCAGGAGGCGGAGCGCTTCGCAACGGAGTTTCCCATACTGTATTCAAGTCTCGGGGCCCAGGACTCAGCACCCGAAAGGTGGCCCGATCGGAGCAGAGCATCAAACGCGGGGGCTCCTCACTCAGAGCTCAACTCCCCGAGCTGTAACGCAGAGGAGCGAAGCTCAGCTGCGCAATTCCCCAGAGAAGTCCCACGCTCCACCATTGAGGCACTTGGGGCGCGTAAAATGTTGCGCGGCTAATATCCGAGGGAAGCTGGACAATTTGCTGAGATTTGGGATCAGAGCAAATTCGGATGTTCTTCCGATTCTCCGGGCCATGGAGAACGTAGCCAGCAGCTGGAGCGCATTGTGCGTCGTCGGCGAGATAGAATCGACGAAGAAGTTTTTTTTTCTTCACTTGCCCAGTTTGAAGTGAACGATTTTTCTCAGTTTTCTGTCCGGAACACATAATTCCATTTAACTGTTGGTGGGAGAGCTTCGAGTCCGTATTCTCTGGCAGCGTATACGCCGCTGGTGGGAGACGACGACGACAGTCGGTAGTTCTGTCGCTCGCCGCTGGTGGCGATAGATGGACACACTGAGTGAGTCTACGGACGGAGCAGAGTCTGGCGGCGCGCTGACTCCGCATTTTCTGCGCGCCGATAAGAAGGCGCTCTGATTTTCCTCTAGCGTGGATCGATTGAACCGGGAACGGGTCCCGCGTTTGGCTGCGATCCAGAGAATGGCTTACTTACGTATTTCTTGCACCGCCCCTGCTATCGAATGTCACGGGCTAACGTTGAGTTTACGCCGTGAGTTCCACGCAGCCTTTAGAGTGTTTTGGTTGGCTTGTGGTGCTCGATGATACTGGGAGCGTACCACAAGGCACGGGCTCCCAGAAGTTACGGTTGCGCATTGTGGTCAACCGACCGCGCATGGGCCACGCGAGAGGGAACGACTCCCACGATCCTCGTCTGAGAGGTCCGCTCACGTTGCCTACGGAAGTCCGTGATCCGCTCTCTGCCGAACTCGCGCTTAGCACAGGTGTGGTACGACGCGTGAGCCGAAGACCGCCGATTCGGCGTGCTGCTCGAGCAGCTGAGACCTTCGTGAACGATTCCAGTTATCTAGGGATCTGTCTCTCGTAATACATATCAATTTCCCAAATTCACTGGTCGCCATCGGGATCGAGTCACGATTCAGAAAGTGCGAGAGGTGTCTGAGTGGTTCTCTAGAAGCATCAGGTCGGAAACAGGTACGGTTGTTCGGCTCACAGCGTCTTATTCTGACTGACATTGTAATCGCGCTGTCCTTCTCCGTCAGGCATTTCGAGCAAGTTCGGCCGAGAGAGTCGATTAAGTATGGTCTAATTCCTCCGGAAGAGTGGGATCTTGACGTACTAGGCTATTGGGAGCTCGAAATCAGATCATTCAGTGGATAGAGCGGGCACGGAGAGATTTACAGCTATATATAATGCACCACATGCCCACCACACTGGAACATGAACATAGTTCGATGAACTTCCGTCGATTTTTTCCCCAAGAGTCGAGAATCAATGTCCTGGATCTCATTTCGAGTAATCGATATTCGGTGATTTGCAATCTCGAACGTTCGTACAGGTCTCCGGCTCCGTCGGAGTGGAGGAACCATGGGCGACCATGGCTTGATAGCTCGACCCGAAATCCAAGTTCTCGAGCATATCCGGATCACGCTATCCTTTAGATGGAGAGCGAATGATGTTTGTGGTGGAAAATGCATCATCTGTTCTGTATGCGGTTCCTCCGTGTCACTTCGCTCTCTGTCGCATCGAGTCTAGAGCAACAAAAACCCTTTCCCGGGTGTAGTGTTCGGTCTCATCGTCGAGAGTTTCATCCTCACAGCCCACGGTTGACTCTCGATTGCACGGATCGTTTTGCCTTCGCGAGCCTCTCATTAAGTCGAGACAGGAAAGTAAGTCGATCGATGCGAGAATCCGCTCGGCGTGATTTTGCCCACTCGAGTATACTGGGCATCCCTCGGTGGGACAACTTTCTGCACCTCCGCGGTCGGAGACTGTGCGAGTGAGAGTACGCGTGATTTTCATTACCGTTAGCGCCGTTGCATAAGAGCTGGCGTGTCCTTCAATTTTACCGGATTTCTCCTCACTTCATTCGGACTTCTGGCCTTGCGTTACGTCTCGCCGGTGCCCCGGCTCCGAGTCAAGGGCGCGCAGCCTTTCTGGACGTTTTAGATCAGTGTTGTGTTGTGACACACGGCCTGCGTGTATGCTCTTTCGCGAGCTACGCCGTGAACACTGTTGTTCAACAAAAAGTAGAGTGAGTTAGCTTCGTGTTCTTCGGTGCAAATTTCCCAAATCGGAAGTTTACGAGGAGTACGCCGAGTTGGAGTGACATCTCTCGCGGAATTCCTTGCTCTCGCTCAATCCAAGTTTTGGGTTCGCCATCGAGATAGGGTGTGGGTGTGACGTCGCGCGAGTTTCTCAATCTTCTCGGCTAGAGATGCATTCTAGATAAAGAGCTCTCCTCAAGCTTGGTTGTTTGTTGTGACTAAGTAGCCAAGATGAAATACTTGACGCATTTCGAGCGATGGAATCCCCTGAAATTGAGCTCCTTTCCAAGAGCGCAAGGGATCAGCTGACCGACTCGATCAAGGTTTCTGTAAAGCAATCCAAAGAAAAATTATCCTTCGAGCTTCCTAAGCCCACCGGATTTGGAGCGAATCGAAGTATCTCACACTTTATGTATAGGGGACTAATGAATCGAAACTCGTGCGTCCTTGAAGTCATGTCGCCGATCAAGCATCATCGCGTCGCGTTTCTCGAATCGAATCGGAGACCCTACTGAATTCCCGTCACGAAGATCTTAAGTCCCCCCATTCTATTGCAGACACGTATTTCCTATTGCCGGCATGTCGGCTTTGCGATGCTCCCTTCATCACACGAAAAATCTCCTGATTGTTTCCCATAGGGGTGAGAACAATGATTTATTTTCCTTCCTGTTCCATGAAGATATTTTCCCCGTTCCCGACCCGGGCCCGTTCTTCTAGAACTCAAAGGCGAGATCCTATTCACCAGGTCGGCATCTGCACAAGCTCAGGATCTCAGCGGCTGTGCAAGCGCGGTCGTTCTCCGTCGGTCCTTGTCACAAACGGGAACACACCGAGGATGAAATCCCAAATTTTTTAGATTTCAAAGCTCAGAGGGGCAGCGATGGATATCACAAGTAAGTCGATCCCTCTTCTGAGATCGGGCACAACGCCCCAGCGTTGGCGTGATCGCCGCGGCCACGTCTGGACACCTTTTCCGATCCCGGGTGTTGAACCTTTTTCCGCTTTCCCGGGTGTTGAGCGCGGGTTCTTTCAGATGCTCGACTCATCCTCGCATTCCCTTCGAATTTCAGAAGTCGAACCACGAGCATCGGAGGCTCGAATTCCGGCTCCGCGTCAACCTCCACCGGTAACACGACTATCGGATCCACGACGGCCGGAGGGGATAACGGGGGATTCTGCTGCCCGAAATGCGGCAGTCCCTGCACCCACGTCGAAACGTTTGTCTGTGAGAATCGCTCCTACCCCCCGTATATCATTCGATTCTTTGTGCTCCGTCCTCCGTACGCGACTCATTAACGTCGCATCACTTCGTGCGACACTGGTTGGCCGACGTACATTGAGCTTCGTATAATTTTCTCTTCACAGCCTCGACTCGATTCGTAAAATGTGAGAAGTGTCATCATTTCTTCGTGGTACTTTCTGAAAGTGAAAACAAAAAATTCGCGAGAGATGCCGCACAAGCCAAGGCTGCCGGTGCGCCAGCGGCACAGAAGGCTCCACCCCCTCCGAAGAAAATCTACGAATACCTCGACCGACATGTCATTGGACAACACGAAGCGAAAAAAGTTCTCTCCGTGGGGGTTTATAATCATTATAAACGCATTTTCAACAACATCAGCAAAACCCAAACTCCTCCCGCGGAGAACTTGGCCGCACAATCGCTCGAATACGCGCCGACAAATCAGCTGTTGACGTCAAGAGACTTCATAAATTCCGGCACGCCGTATGGGTCGAATACGGGCTCTGCCTTCAGCCAACCTACCCATGAAGCCGATCAACAAAAGACGTCCCAAGGTGGCCAGGCGCGTGGGACCGAAATTCTGGAGAATACCTGCCAGGAAATCCGACTCGAAAAGTCCAACGTTCTCCTGTTAGGCCCGACCGGCTCCGGCAAAACGCTGCTCGCTCAGACGATCGCCCGTTGCCTTGATGTTCCGTTCGCTATTTGTGACTGCACGACGCTCACCCAAGCGGGGTATGTCGGGGAAGACATCGAAAGTGTCATAGCGAAACTGCTGCAAGATGCGAATTTCAACGTGGAAAAAGCTCAGCAAGGTTAGTGCTTCATGCGTTTTCCGTCCCAATTCATTTCTGCCGATGATGTCCGGGAGGAGAATGGGTTTCACTCCCCAATTCGCCACCGGATGCTTCCAGGTATCGTCTTTCTCGATGAGGTCGACAAAATCGGAGCGGTACCCGGTATCCATCAGCTGCGAGATGTAGGTGGCGAAGGAGTCCAGCAAGGAATGCTGAAAATGCTCGAAGGAACGCTTGTTAACGTTCCGGAGAGGAATTCGCGGAAACTCCGGGGTGAAAGTCTCACTGTCGACACTACGAACATTTTATTCATCGCGTCAGGAGCTTTCAACGGTTTAGATCGGCTCGTCAGCAGGCGGAAAACGAATAAGGTAATGATGAGCCCTAGCTCTGATCCGAACACATCCGAACAACCTAGGCGGAAGATGGGACTCCGTAGCGTCGAACACGGACGTCCTTTGGATTTCCCTGGGAATCAATTTCCCTTGTAACGGCTCGATCTGGTTCCAGTATCTCGGATTCGGCGCTCCTGTTTTCGAATCTCGGGGTCGACGCGCGGCGGCTTCGGAAGATCAGGCCAACAGTGCGGCACATGAGTCAGCGATCGATGAGAATATAGAGAAAGACATCATGTTGAAGAGTGTCGAAGCTCGCGATCTCATTGAGTTCGGCATGATACCGGAATTCGTTGGGCGTTTCCCTGTCCTCGTGCCGTTCCATTCGCTGTCCGAGGACATGCTGATCCAGATCCTCACGGAGCCTCAGAACGCTCTTCTGCCCCAGTTCCAGATGTTATTCAGCATGGATAAGGTAAATCAAAGATTGATAACGATTATTCCCGCGGAATTCTCCGAATTCTCTGTCCGAATGGAGTTTCAACGTTCCCTACCAAAGATATTCTCCAATGATCTATCGAATCCGATATCATACAGGAAATGCATACCCTGGTTATATTACGGTTCCCGACATATTCCTTGTACCCGGGATGGTAGGAGCGCTTGCGTGTCTTCCGAATGATGTGTTTTTCCTAACTATCTCTTACGCCCTCATCTCTCTCGTCAGTGCGAGCTGACGTTCGACGACGCGGCTCTACGGAGTATTGCCCACATGGCTATGGAGCGGAAAACCGGAGCCCGAGGCCTTCGTGCAATCATGGAGAAAATTCTCCTGGAGCCGATGTTCGAAATTCCCGGCAGCGACGTCACAGGCGTCCACATCTCCAAAGAAGCAGCTGAAGGCACAGCGGCGGCAACCTACGTGAGGGAAGCGAACAACAAAGAAGACGCCGAGGAGTCGACCGAAGGCGCGAGAGCGTTCAACTCTTGAATCGTTCTCAGAGATCAGAGCTGTCCTCGCCATCTCGTCTCTAATGGCAATGGATTGTAAATGCTGACGTCAGAAGAGACCAATCTTGACCTTAGGAACGACAACCCTAGAGAAGTCCACGGAGCTGTCGAAACGATTGATATTTTTTGATTTATGACATCGATGCAGCAGATGGTGGCCGAATCGAGATCGCGGATTGGAAACGGATTAGGGAATCGTTTGGACCAATTGTCCGGCAGCGATCAGTCGAAAAATTCAATTTAGGGTCCTTGGGGCTTGGCGCCGGTCGGGGCCATACGGGAAGTGAGCGCCCGAACCCGGGCTTCCCCCGAGAAGAAGACTGATCAGGCCACCCTTCGGGACGTAGAAACTGGAACTAGGCACTTTCCTCGGGATGTCGAGGCTCGGTTGCCAGACAGAATTCACCCAAAAAAGAAGGAAGGAGTTGTGTTTATGTCGCTAAGTCAGAACTGAACAAGAATCGTATTGTACATAGAGATCCAAACAGAATTCTTGAGGGTCTTGCTCTAGCGATGTTATCATCGACTCGCTCGCCGTGTTTCCGAATGTTCAATCCAAATCGTTTCCTCGAGAGGGGCTCTCAAATTATTCGGTTTTCCATCTGCAGCCCGACGCCTGGGTTCGGATCATTCTTCCGACACTCGTTCGATGTTGAGTTGAAGTCTGTAAATAAAAGGTTAATTGAGTAACTGTGTCATGTCGTGTGGTGGTTGTCAATGATTTCTCACCGTATGAACACACCGGCCGGTTCTCGCTACACATCGAGATCGAATCGTAAAAAACGCGATGCATTGATCCTCCTTTCCCTCTGATGCGAGTATCTGGTGCCCGAACGAGCTACAATCATGAAGAGTCCATCTTGACGAGCCTCGGGTTTTCGCCAGAATCCACATGGCCCGGATATCTCGAGCTCGTCTCGATCAGACTGCATGTTCGCCCCACAGAATCCCGCAGAATCGCCCGTGGACGAGTGGATGAAAGCTCGGAAGCAACGAATGATACCTCCCAGGCCAATTGTGACTGACAAGTAAACATTCTTTTTTGAAAATGACAATCGCCTGGTTTGACATGCTTTTCTGAAAGTTTCCAAGCCCCGGAGCAACCCCAAGTCGTTTTTCCCTGCTGTCCTGCATTTCATACCCCTTTCCTGCAGGCTCCGAAACCCGGAAAAAACACCATTTACATTGAAATCCGGGATATTTTTCTCGGATTTTGATGGAAATGTTTTTTTCCCCAGGTTCCGAAGCTCGGAAAGATCCATTCCCATTGATATCCGAGCAAAATATCCCGGATTTCGATGTAAATGGTGTTTTTCCGGGTTTCGGAGCCTGCAGGGAAGGGGTATGATATGCAGGACAGCAGGGAAAAACGACTCGGGGTTGCTCCGGGGCTCGGAAACTTTCAGAAAAGCATGTCAAACCTGGTGATTGTCATTTTCAAAAAGAATGTTTACTTGTGAGTGCCGCTCCGTCGTCATGATCGTTTAATGGGATACGCGCAATTTCGAAAAACATGTTCGTTTATTAAATTACTATTTAGTTTACAGCAAGATAATCTCGGTACGGTATATTTAGGATTTGGGTCAATTGTGACTTTCCTGGCGACGTATCGAGCAGACTCGGCTCTCGTCGTCGACCGGGACAGTTAAAATACATACGTGTTTGATTCTTTCAGTGAAAGTACAAAACCCGCAAGAAATGTATTTCTGCGAATACACTCTGAGTATCAAAGCTCCTAACTGCACTCCCTGATCTGAGTGCTTGAGTATATGGCGTTTCGCATTGTGTATAGCCAAAACGCTAAGAGGGAAATGCGTATATATGCGAATATGTTTCTTCGCAGTGTACAATCTTTGGCAACGTAGAATGAAGCAGTGATTCAGAGGCTCTGCTGTTATCTAGGTAGAGGTGTTCTTTGATTTGGCGATGGCTTCGTACGCGGGATGTCATAAAAATCGACGCAAGAGGAACAAGCCGCTACGTAAAAGCTTTGGCTAGCAAGCGATGCTAGATCGCAAAAAAGGAACTATTCGCTTTGGTTCAGGACTCTCTGGACATGACGGTCCGCGGGACCGGCAGGCCATGCATGCTTCCGTGGAGCAGCGAGATCTACATGAGTTGAGGTTTGTGTTTTTCTTGAGCGTGTGCTACACTCAGGCGAGGGAGGTGCGAGGCGCTGACATCGAAGGCGACGTCGACGTTCCGCGCCGCAGTTGAAAGTTGGCGTAGGAGGCTCGTTCAGACTCATTTGTCCGGGGTACCGAGCGCACTCTCGGCTCCGGATGAAGAGCTGCTCTCGCTGAGGGTTCCGGCTTCTCTGAAAGACGCTTGATGGGCTTCGAGCAGCTGATTGTACTCTTGGAGTTGAGCGCGGTATTCGAGATAGGCCTGTTGAGCTTCGGGAGTTTCCATGGCGTCCTCGTCGAAAAGCTCCTCCAATTCACCGTTCTGTTTCATGTCCTGCACCATCTCGTTGACCGACCACAGCTGACACAGGAGTGACATGTCAGTCTGACGTAGAGCCACCATCTCTCTGCGAAGAAGAGCCATTTTGGCTTCGAGCCGCAGAATGGGATCTTGATTTTCGTAGACAGATCGGTGGCCGGACGGTCGCCTACCGCCCCCGTTCGGTGAGTCGCCGTTTCCGTTCCAGCCTAGCGGTGGAGACTGCGGTCTTTGTCTCCTGTCAACGTCCTGCTGTATCCGAATCCGCATCACATGAGCTCTTCCCATTTCTCTCAACTGATGACTATTGAAGTTGAGCAATGAGCGTAGAGATTTAGGGGGTGGCGGGAGCCCGATGGACGCCGGGTCCATCTGAAAAGAGAGCAACCGTTCGTTGATCAGAGAGAAGAACTTCTTTCTCCCGTCGGCTCGGATGGCATCTCATCGGATTCCCGGACAACTGGGACGGCTGAGTTCGTTCCGACTATGTCGACGAACACCAATAATTCTCTTTCAGTTCAGATATGGACTCGGTGAGAAACTTCGCAGCCGATGATTCGATGGAGATCCCGGGAGTCTCGGACTCCAGCCCGGGAACTGATCGAGGCGCATCGGCTCCGTCGTGTCTCTGCCGAGGACCCTTCCGATGCGCGTACATCCTCGACTAAGTCCATTATACCTGCGTCTTACCGTGGGTCAGCAGTCGGTGTTCGTAGACCCGAGTCCACTGGCGATCGATGATGATGATGATCTCTGCCTGAGAGTCGCCGGAAGGCTCGCGGACTCCCACCGATTCCATTCTCTCAGTCAATCGCGGATAGAGACACTGGAACGGTCCTGTGTTCTTCTCCTGGACCTTGATGGCATCGTCAACAGATGAATTCGCATTCCACGCGTCTCTCTTACCGATTCAGCGAGCTATAAAAATCCTCGACTTACGCCTCGAACCTCTGTTGCTCCAGCGGGCGTCCCAGTGGGATGGGTAATGAACGATCTGGTTTGCTTGGTTTGTACGATTCGGTGGCATCGAGCTTGCGGAGGTGACTTGACGATGAGAGAATCTCGAGAAGTTCCTCTGGTGGAAGCAGGTGGAATTCCTCCGCGTCAGGAATCATTTGGGCTAGGTTCGACGTTCCGGTGTTCAGACCTTCTCGGAGAATGTGGAGGACGATTCCTACGAGCTCGTTATCCTCCAGATGAGGTCCCCGTTCGTATAGTAAGTAACCACAAATATTTACGCAGCCAAGCTCCGAAGTTGATCTACACAATGATGCAAAGTCAGAGTACAATACTGGGCCACAATACCTGAATAGACTCGAGGCTTCTGAAAGCAATACAGCACATACATGAATAACATACGCAGTCGAACCCGATAGGTACGTCGCCTCGACTCACGTCAACCTCGTGCTTTCGCCACTCTCTTCTGTCCCACCTACTAGGTGGTACATTTTCAAGAGCATAGTGACCGCGATGCATGAAGTCCACGGTCGAGGACTCCGTCGTCTCCCTTCGTTGAGCAGGCTCGAACGAAGTTCCACGAAATGGATTCTGATCGCTCTTCGAAGATCCTGGACATCGCAGTTAGCGCTTTCATTCCATACCGCATCATTATTTGGAAACGATGAGGAGCCGGTTGCTCGGATAAGTTCTTTTCCGGAAAGAGGAAGCCCAAACTCGAAATTCATTCGACGTGAGATGAATCAAACGACTTGTGGATGAGACCATTGACCAAGCGAGCGACAAACACCAAAACCATTTCTCCGCCTTCAAGACCCTGGAGAAACGTGCACCAATTGATGGCGTAGGTCGAGCCCAAACTGAACATATTTCGCTCATGCTCAGCTGAAGCCTCCCTGCAGTAATGAATTCACGAGGAAGCGTCGCCTGACTCCGACATAGCCCCCTTGTCTTCCCCTCGAATTCTTATCGAAACTTATGAGACCAAGTGAGGGCTTTCGACGGACTCTCGAGACTTTGGCGGAATAGCTCGAAGCCATCCCGAGTAACATGACGGAGTTCTGTCAGTGAGTGGGGTGGATCTGTATGCCTTAGATAGCGAGCAATATCCAACGAAGAATAGTTTTTCAGATTTCAAGTCCCATTTCTTCCTCAGTTCCTTCGGAATGTGCCAGTACGCTAGACACCCGAACACTCTAATAACTGGAAGAGTCACCAAGTACAATATAGAAACCTTCTCCTCCGATTGAATATCAAATACTTTAATGTCGAAAAGACCCTTGGTGGGGATCCGATGAACCCGTATAGCCAAAGATAGCCTATACGGAGCCTTCTTTATTTATCTCTGACTCCGACAATTTCGAATAGTTACAGTCTTCACGGGACGAGTGCATAGGTAGCAGCCGTGGTCACCCCGCAGATATTATTCTTCATAGCGATCTTCACGTAGCCGTCATCACCCCAAAGAGTAGACCAGGAGTTTTTAACGATCCAAAAAGCCTCACCCTCGTGGCTGACTCCGTAACCGACTGCTAGAACTGCGTGGTCCAGATCAGCGAGGCCGTTCTCTGAAACATATCCCACGCCATGAATGGGAGCCCATATCGGATAAAAACTCGGAGAGCAACTCACATCTGGATCGAACGAGCCCACGGAGCTGCCCCCGCCTCAAATAAGTCGAAGAACTCACTGCAGTCTTTGTCATTGAAAATCCCCGTATGGTAGAAAGAGAGGGATGGCAAAGCAGCGAAGATCCCGACGGATATGGGACCGACAAAAGCCACAGCTCTCTTCAGATCATTCTCCCCGGTGACGTTCACGTATCCAAGCAGAGTCGGAAGTTCTCTTTTAAGCGCAGGACCATCGTGGCATTTTCCATCCTGTGGGAAACAAAGACCAGCATCAACTCTCTCTTCAACTCCCGAGCCGAGCTGGAAGAATCTCCTCAGCCGGAACACCATGGGAATTCCACCGAGCGTATGAAACTTACGATGCCCATGTAAGCTCCGTATTCCTTGTCGGTGGACAATCCGTGTTGCATGATGTATTGGTAGGCCTGGTAGTCCTGACCCCCATCGCAACCCCCGTTGCCGAACTTCCATGAGCAGTCGATCAATTGTTGCTCGGAGAATCTGACCAACTTCCCATGCTTTTTGGAGAAACTAGTGAGACTCTGACCGATACTGCATCCTGGTGCGACGGCACAGGAACTAGTCACGGATAAATCCATTCATTCATTCAATCAAGACTTGGATCTCTCGCTTACCTTGCGAGCGTACATGCCCTCGATATTCCCGGTAGCTCCGAAACTCCAGCATGAGCCGCAGATAGCCTGATCCTTCACCTCGGTGACCACTCCTCTAGGCTTCCAATCAACGGAGTCGGGCAGTTCCCGGCCGATGAAGTTCTCGGCGGGAAAAACTTTGCCGCCGTTCGGTCCAGCGACGTACTTCCTGCCGCGTAGGAACTTCATCTCATCTTGATGAAGGTCAGCGAGATGGTTGATTCTCAATTTGAAGTCCTTATTCTTGCGATTCATCGAGTCGATGTAGCGTTGATTGTTACGGAAATTGTCCTTGCGTAGCTTTTCATTATCAGCGTCTTCGTAGCGCTTCGAGTGTTGCTTCTTGAAGTGCTCGAAGTGCTCATCGACGTGACTTTCGTCGCGATGGATGAAGACTCTCATTGGATTGAAGAGATGTCCGGAGGAGAGCCCTGATCCTTCGGGGTAGGGAACACACCTTCCCGCTGCGGCCACCTTCACAACGTCGAAAACGGTCGCGTCTTGAGCCCCAGTGGTATAGCTGGTGTAGATCATTTCGTATAGGTCGTAATGAGAGCCGAAAAGCGAGTCGTAACCGAGCATGGTGTAACGGACTGGAATATAGGTGTCTTTGTCCCTGCAGGATCGAGGAACGCTTAGCCGGTTTAGATCGATTCGTGCCATCGAGGTGGATTGGATTACTCTCCTTACTTTATTGCGTAGAACGTGTAGGTGCTATTCCGACCGAAATTCGTGGTCACATTCGTCCATGTCATGCATTTCTTTTTTGCGACGAGGTTCGGATCAGACAGCCCGTCGGCGCAGTCCACTTCGCCTGCAAACTATCGGACAACAAATGACTCGTTTCAGTCGGAATCGCGAGACTTATACTTAGACGCGTCGGTAAAGCGAGCCTACCTTGAACCAGTGGAGATCCGGGAACACACTCTGTACATTCACCGGTGCGGCCTCGGTAGCGTTGGCCTGGTAACAGACTTCTTCCACAACGTGAGCGCGATTAGGGCTCCACACGATCTGAGAATCGGAATGGGGCTCGGAATCGCCTTGTGAAAAACCAGACCCGGTTCCACTTTCCCGGAGAATCTATCTAACGGGATCAACTCTTTCCGCACCTTGAAGTTCGCGCCGTTGGGACTCTCCGTGTAGGGAGTGTTGATTTGGAACGTTTTCATCGTTCCATCGTAGTAGTCGATTCGAGATTTTTTCTGTTTCGCGTCGTAGTTTGCGGTGAAAGGCTCTCTCAATGTGGCGTACGGCAGAAGAATGAATCCACTAGCTGTATAGGCATCTGCGAAGGTCGGGGGCGCCGGATCCTCATTGCTGGGGGCTGGCACGCCCACTATAAAGAAAAAGATGGAACTGATCGCAAGGTCGAAGGTTTTCTCCATGAGGTCCATCTTCCATCTTTCTGACGGCTCGGGCACTGAAACTCACAGACGGCGGTGATGCCGAGGGTGAGGACGCAGGTTGCGAGCATGATCTTCTCCAGCTCGACAATGCCGCCGAAATCTTGTGGTAGCCTTTAAAAGCAGAATGACACACCTACTACTAAGCCTGGTTGGATTTAGCGGATCTTGCTACGTGGTTCAAGTCAGGTTGAGCAATTTGACTCTCGATTACGAAAAGTCTCCCAGATTTCTCTCTGTCGGCTGATCCATTCGTCGATCAAAGTCGATTCGATACGAGTTTCTCCCGTTTGGGTTATCAAATAATGAAAATTGGATCAGACCTATCCTATGAAGGATTCACTTCGCTTTCATGGCAGGAGAAAGCATCGCGAGAACCCAAAGGAAATTATAGAAAAGAGGATAAAAGTATTCTGATCCAAAATGCTCCCGCAGATGCAAACCAGCTTCGTTCCTACCGCGGTCAATCTTCGTTTTCCTTAGAACCTATCGTTTTCCTGAAGGTTCTACGAGCATCCTGTCACGCGGAACTCCGTCCCGCGTTTTGCGGACTTCCCCTTCCTTCTCTCTGACACACAATACCCAGAGGAAGTCCTGCTCCGTCGGTGCATACAACGGATATTACCCCATCGAGAAATGTTTCATGCAGGATCTCGAAACGTCTTGTTGCCTCCAGACGTGGGTCGGTCTGGGCAATCATGAACAAAATTTCTCTTGGCTATCCTTGTACCCTCATCGAACCTACTCAGTCTTGTCAAATATCGGATTCCGTATCGGAGCTCGGGCTTCTCTCGCCCGAATATGTGACCTTGCTACATCTCCCTGGATTACTCCGTATGCTTCTCTGTATCCCGTAATGCCATTGACCCGCAGACGTCTGCGTCTCCTTGAGACGAGCACCCAGCGCTTACTGATTTCACGAGGTGAGGTTCGCATTAGCGTGAGTCGGCGTCGTGACCGCTGTCGTCGTTCCCCATTGAATCCTGGAGACTTCGAATCCATCGAACGTTCATTGACTCACTTTGGAGCGCCGATCCCACTTTCTCTTGCACGATTATGTTTCCTTCGATTATTAGGCTTGTCACACAGGAATTTCGCGACTTGCCTATGTCAGCCTCGTTTCTCCGTCTATCCTTGTTGCATGAACATGAGAGATTCTCCCCTTCAGAGAATCCCCACTCTGCCATGTCAAAACAAGAGGCCGTCAGACGAAAGTTGTCGGTCTGTAGCAGCCCTTGGGCATTCGATTCGTATGGGTTAGAGTCCCTCATCACCTCGGAACCACATCTCGTTCCTGGAACCCTTGACTCTAGTTCGGCGGATATTCGGGGAGAATGGAACGGGAGAGAGAGGCACCCTCGTCCAAGTATTCTAGAGAAACTACGGAATGGCTTATCATTTCATGATGATTGTTCAATGATCGGGCGACGAGAGAATTTCTCTGAGGCGGGATTCGGCTTGCAAACATCGGTCACCAGTGCACCAGGTTCAGGAGGACTTCACTGCTCGGAAAGAGAATTTACTGCCGAACTCGCAAGGTGAGCTCGCCCGCAAAAACCGCTCCTCCAATCGTGCAGCTCCGTTGCGTATATGGGAGAACGATAATTCGAAATCGATCGCCCGATTTCTCACAGACCCGCCCAAAGGGCGCTAGAATGGTATCCTTCCATAATAATAGTAACGGACGTCGTTCAAGGGAAAAACACAGAAATCGGGATTCTCGAGAGCTAGCTGCTTCCTGAGAAGATTTATTAGCTACCAGAAAAACAGGGGCTCTGAGATTCTGTGGGAGAGATTCTCATAGAAACCTGAGATTTAGTTTCCGTTAATAAATAGACCTGCTTTTCATTAAGTAGACTGTTATCGGAATAGTTGGAGATGATTATCGTATTAGGAAAAGCAGTCTTCTCTCTGAACAAACGCTCCTGGCTTATATTAGGCACACTTTCACATAGGCACTCGACAATCCGAAGGCAAGATTCCGGAAAGGTTTGCTGCATCCGTTGATAGAGAGAGAACAAGCGAGCCGCTCCACCGAGCTCTCAGAGCGGATAGCCAGAACGAAGCCAGAGCGACGGGGAAGGGCCCCGAACGCGCCGTAGTCGTCGTCATCGGTCTCCTGACCGTACTTTCTAGCAATACATCGTTCTCCGGAGCCACTGGAATCCGAATCGAAGTCATTAATTACGGCGCTGACACACGGGAGGTCTAGCGTCCATATCTTGGACAGGATTCACATATGTACCTCGTCGATCGTGAAGACTGCTGATCCCATACGGCGAGCATCTTTTTCCTTGAAGATTTCTGAAATGGACAGATGGTAAGACGGCTTCCATGAGGATCATCTAACAACGAGGCGAGTCGAAGAATGAGCTTTCGAAGCTGAACTCACCGATCATGCAGCGAAGTTTGACGGCACACCCGATGAAATCATCGAAATTGATGTAACTGTCATGTCCATAGCGCAGGACCAGGAATGAAAGAATATGGTTGTTGATTGTATAACCGGCCGAGTGCAGTGCTTGGCGGAGTTCCATTGTGTCCAAGGCACCGTCCTCGTCCGTATCGTACATTTTGAACGTATTCTGAAATCAAGGGAGTATCGTTATCGTTGATGTTGACCTCCCGCAACCATTGTCGTAGAAGGTGGGACGGCTGGCGTGGGAACATACCCTCCAGGTTCTGATCATGATCCACAACGCCCGGAAATCTTCGAGACCGAGCTTGCCGGAATGGTTAGAGTCCATCAATGCGATCATGCTGCGGCACACATCCAGCGAAAACTTGCTTCCTTGTAGCTCTGTAATATTCACGTATGACAGAATAAGTAGTCGCCTAATGACTGATGAGGAGGCACTTCGTGAGAGCAGCTCCGGCAAAGGCACGTGAATTGGAGCACGCAGGCCCACCGGCCGTGCTCATCACAGCCCGAAGGATGAAATGGACAAGATAAGTGGGCACTTCGATCAATTCGGGCGATTTCAAAGCGAAACATTTCGGCAGCAGGGCTTTGGAAACACTCCCTTAAAGGTTTCACCAGTGAGAGTGCAATATTATACGGTATGCCCCGAAAAATTAGGCGCATGGCCTCCGGAAAGTGTGCAGTATTAGAGCCAGACAGTTTTGGCAAATCGTGAAATATTACCGCTGAAGGGTCCGGCTTCGTCCCGATTAGCGAAATCTGGAAGGAGAGGATAATGAGAGATTCTCATGCGAGGTGCGGATGAGAGGGGTCAGCTTTCTTATTACTTCCAACAAGGAGTAATAACTCGGGTCGCGAGTGTGCAAGGAGATCCAAAGTAGAGCCGAAACATATTGCCGTAAGATTTAGAATACATTGAATCGAGCGGCATCGCAGATTTTCGAATTCAAAAGAGTGAGGCTTGAGAAGAAGGTTGAAATAGTTGATTGAATTTCTGAGGAATTCCTGACAATTTAGGACGGAGAGGAGCCTCCTGTTCTACTCTCCGGTGAAGATACCTTTCTGGAAGACGACAGTGAGGATCTTCTGCAACTCGTAGCAGTTGACTTCGAGGTCGTCTCCGGCAATTTTAGCGAACAAGGCTTGCAGCTGACGAGCTTTGTCCGATTCAGGATCTTCTTCCGGCGCAGCAACTTCAGGCTCTGGAGCGATGATTGCAGGTCTGCTATCATGCTCTCGGAGTGTATTCTAAAGCGAGGGGACATCGAGTTAGTCAATGATTGGGGGGCGATCGTCTCAGGATATCGAGAACTCGAAAGAGCACATCCTGCCGCACCTTTTTCTCCGTGAACACTCTCAGGAGGAAATCCCCCGTCTGGTTGGGCTCGAAAGTTGAGGGAACGATGCAATACGTTCCCGGAGGGAATTTGAATCGTGTGGTGACCTCTCTCGAATTGATGAATGTGTGTGATCTTCCAGCAGACTGAGTATATTTGAAGAAACTCAGACCCATTGGCTTCTCAACGCCATTTGGATCGTTCACCTGCGTTCGGGAGTTTCGTCAAGGACAGCTCGATCACAATCTGTACCACATGAAATTCCATACCGTGAAGAAGCTTGAATATTCTCGTTTAGAGGACTGGATGACGACAGACGCACTCGATAGATTGCAAAACCGATGGTGAGGAAGAGACCTCCACCCAGCGTCCGCATCGCCCGCCGATTTTTCTGCATAAGCGCCACGATCATGGTGCACTCGTCGTCATCGTCATCTTCGTCGGGATCCTCCAAGGTGATGAAATACTGAGGATTGACCCAATGCGTATCTGTGAAAAGTAGAATAAAACCTGAGAATCCTCTGTCGATCGATTCGGAATCATGTCGCATTCATTCAAAAATCACGAGATAAGACTCGCTCCTGACCAAGGTAATTTCTGCATCCACCCGCCGTTGCACCGGCAACCCATGAGCCCTCGTAGACTGCGACCTCCCACTTCTTGGCTGAGGAATCTGTCAGCATTTCTTCCGTGAGGGCATCGGGTCCCAAATTGCATATTTCCACATAATGGAAGTTTCGTTCGAAGTCCCTCATCGACATCCTTGAAAGGCATTAACGAGCATTAGTCAGTCCGGTCCCATCCGCGGTCCTGGGTGGCTTCCTCCGCGACTAGGAAATCACCAAATAGGAAGCCTAGCGGTTTTGAGGGGAACATGAGGAGTGTCTTACCAGAATTCCCCATCGGCATCGAACGTCAACCCGAGGCTCTCCCGTTGGGATTCATCGACCAAGCTCCATTCTTTCGAGCCGTCGGACCAAGATCCGTTCCACTCATGTTCTCCCCAAGGGTTCCGAATCCTTATCAGGGGCATCTTCCCTGCACGTGAAAATTTCCCATCATGGATGATGGTATTTCGTACGCTCTATTATGAATGTCATAAATAGATTTCATTAGATGGAGAATACTAGTACCGTTCAATCGCTCGATGTAAACGAGCTTGACGGACGTGATCGAATAGGCATGTCCAGCGACGAGTCCATTGCTCAGACGCTCCTCCATCGTTTCACCGGGGGTGATGGAGCAGGACATCATTGAGTTCCTCTCATACGCTTTGAGCATGAGCAGGAAAATGTTCTTCGGGGGTTGACGCAAGTCATACTGTTCAGTAACTCCACCTTTATGACAGGAATAATCCACTTGAGAAAATTGCTCTATCGCGGGACTCCCCACGCCTAGATGAGTGGGAAGAACATTTCCCCGGAGAAGATCATGGAGACGAGATTCTGATGTTTGTATTGATCACTTTGAATTGAACATGTGGAACTAATCTTCTCCAGTGTGATCAATGATGTTCTCACACAGAGGTAAAAAACATTATGATAAGTGAGTGATACGGCTCTTCTCCCGATGAGAATAGCTTGCAAGGCCGAGCGCCGTGTCGACTTCCATTATTCAGCGACCGCATGTAATACATCGTTCAGCGTGGATAAATGTCATAAATAAGCGAGTCGATTCCGGTTTTTGTTCCGTAGTAATAATTGTGAAACAGCAGTCACCTGTGAAATCTTCCATGGCTTCACAAGCGGATCCGCCCGACAACGCCTCATAACTGCCGTGAATCTTCGCGTAGGCTTTCTCCAAGAGAGCGCTCCAGAATTCGTTCCCGCTCCGGCTTTTCATGTAGAGAAGTTCTCCTCCTCGAGTAGGTAGTCGATCGTCCACGACGACATCGATCCAACGATTGGCTTTCCAGATTCGGAAGTGGAACGCGCCTTGAATCACGAAGAAACGAGAACCGTGACTCTTCTGATCGGCAGTTTATCTGACACGAAGCTCGGGCTTTATATCTGCTCAAAGCTATATCGAGCAAATATTCACCGGTATATTTCCCTTCGAAATCCTGATCGTTAGGCACCACTCGATAGAAGAGCTCGTCGTTCAGAGTCAAATTAGCCAGTGCAGCCACCATCCAGCAGTTTCCTGGAATGAGGCAAGATCGAGTCGTGAAAACTCGTCTATTCATCAAATGATTTCCGTTCTCGTGGCCATGCGGTGATCTCCGGCACCACGAGACATTTCACGCGATTGACATCGATGGTGTCCTATCGCCACGGACGATTTTTCTGATTCGCCCACGCGCGCGACCAACGACCCGTCGAAATCGCAGCTCTTGGTCTATGAACGCAAGACTAACGCCTCATCAACATACCGACGCTTCCTTGAACAACGTCGAATCGGGACGCTCCATCTACAAACATGCACGGATTGGAGCAAAGTTCCTGGAATATCACAGTCGGGCTTAATAAAATGACCGATCTCGTCAGGAGGAGACTCGGGGAATGTGCATCTTACCGAGGGTCTCAGCCATTGCACCCGGTGCTTGGGTGGCGCATTGCCGAAAACCGCTTCGTCCGAACAGAGGAATTCCTGGTCCTCGAAGAGTTCTCCCGATTCTCGACACCTCTGCTGTATCTCCTCGAAGTTCTGCACTTTCCCCGTGCGACTCCTGAGTCCAGAACCTCGCTCCCCGAACTGAAAAGGAATTATGCTTCAATATATTCTCCAGTTCGAACTTAAATTCAAAAGCTCATCTTCCGCGTCGGTGAACATGGCAATTTTGCTGGTCTGAGAGAGAAACGATTAGCTGGGATATTCAGTGAGCAACGGTCCCTATTGATCAGAAATTCGACTCAGAAGCCCCCTCGGGATCTCCCCTACCTTGAAAACAGGCCCCTTGTCATAATATCCGGACCAAGAATCCCTCTTGTCGATGTCGACGGCTTCTCCTCTTTTACGGGGGTCTATAGCGGGACCGCGTCTGAGGACGATAATATAACGGATGACTAACAAGAGAACAGAGCTCGGAATCTCGGAATTATCAACTAGCTGCGTTACCCCGAACATTCGAACTCTCATACGGAACCTATCAAACTGGGTGAGGGAGCGATTGAGCCATTCGTCGCAGATGCCGGCGTTCGTCTCTTGTTTGACAATGTCTCACGCTTACTTACACGACACCACCAACGGTCTCGTCTGGCCTCCGCAAAATGCTCCGCCATAAGATCGATGTACTGTGAATCATCCATAACTTAGAACTGTTTGAAACCGCAAATCGAGAATTCGAGCGATTCGAGTGGCCACAGGATCGCACAGAGGAGCGCGCGCTCTCGGCTGCTCTACTCAATCAGACTTTCCGTTGTGCCACCAGTTGCTCTTAAGAGGTACACCACACCCCGCGGAAACGCGGGACTCTCACCCATGCTCGAGGGAGGGCATATTATACGAACGTCTCCATGAGGTCTGGCTCGAAGTTCTCGAGTCGAATCGGGGAAGAAGGGTCTGGAGCGTGTAGTGTATCACGACAAACAATCGACTTCTTCAAGCCAGGAGGTTATCCTTGATAGCTCCCTGAGTAAGCACAAGATGAGAGAACGTTTTCGCGAGAGCTCAAAATCGATCCGCCATAGACGCTCAGCTCACTCGTCAGAGTTCCCCGTCTCGGAAACCCACGTTTTCCCGTCTCACAGATTCTATCGCCAAGTGTATGTCGTGAGTCGTGAGTGAGGTCATCAAAACTCCGGAACACTCACGTCGGTGGAATTCTCGTGCTGATCCGTATTTTCTCACCAGTCGATCCAGCTCATCTTAGAGAATATTGTGAATTTTCGAGACTCTTTTCTCCCATTAAGGAATACATATACAGTACTCCGATACAGATACAGTAATCGCCCACCAAGAGTCCTTGCTTTCTTCGATTGATCTCTGATTCGGAAGCTCGAGCAGCAGAGAACAGCTCGACATGAATGGAAGTAGTGACCGAGTGAATCGGGAATCATGCGGCACAGTCACACCTGTTGCCGTGGGTTCACGGTTGGAACGACCGAGAGGCAAATGAAGCGAAGCGCGGATTCGACTGTCCAAGCGGATCCGAACTCGACCACCCCCCGCCTCTGGTACATTCCGCTGAGACATTAGGATTTTCCGTTACTCGATCAGCGCGAAATGAGATCGAGTCGGGTAATGATCCCGAGCGATTATACGGAGTGTTTACGGAGCTCGCAATGATCAGAGAAAGCGCGTTTGCCGCGTTTGTCGATGTCTCTCAACATCGAGCACCTGACATAGTCAATGGAATCCGGATTCGAAACGTTAATCCCGTGGAAGTCTTGACGGGGTTCTGGCTGCAACCAAACGACCCAGTGTCGCTGCCGAGCCCGCGGAACGAGCCGATATCATCGACCTTCGTCGCTTCTAAAGTCACGAAGACCATTGAAAACATATATCGATGGCGCCTTCGCATTTCCGCCTTCTTGTGATGAAAACACAGAAAATCGTGGATATGAGCACAGGCGACAACTTCGATCCCCATATCGTCGCCTCGATCGCAAGACTGCTCGCGTTCACTGGAGAGCGCCTCGCCTATCCGCGGGGGGAAATGTCCCGGAAAAAGAAGAGCATCGGCATCAAAAGCTCTCTCATGAATGAGTCAAGCTTTCTAGAAGTGATGCCCACGAACAACGAGTCGACCAAGCGAGTCACTTGTCATCTGGAACAAAAGATTCCGCTTCTGAGATATTGGGATACATCCAGATCTGCCGATCTGCGAAACTCGTGTGCTGAGTCGGACGGAGGGACCGCCAGACAGACAGGAAAACAAAGTGAGTAAAAGCGTACAATGACTTCGTGTCAAACATTTACGACTTCGATGTCGTTGCACTTCGGAACCTTCCTTGTTAAATGAAGGTAATATCGAAAGCAGGCTCCACCCCGGTGGTTTATGCGCGTCACGCAAGCAATTTGAGTAGCCCGATTCCATGATTGTGGGTGACCGAGACTCTGAACATATATTCCGGGGTATTGGCGCCTCGTTTGACTGTGGTCCCGGACGGCGAGTAAGGACGGGATGGATGCGATATAATCTCCCCGACCCCTCAAACCGATTCCGCGATAAGTGAAAAATGAATCGGAAAATGACGAGCGAACGAACCACACTCGGCAAAGAAGGCTCAGTTGTCTCTATCTCCCTCTGTGTAAACAAAAGTTTTGCTTACACAGTTCTTCAAAGGAGTCTGCCAATGTCCCGCGAAGCGACGCGGTCCCGAGCGATCGACAAGGGCCCCGTTGTGCTCAGTGTTTCTCTGGCAAAAGACGTTTGGCGAGGAACGATAATTTCTTACTGAACGTCCGGGGTCACGTCGATGTTCCATTATGATGATCAATTCTTAGCATGCTGCATCTACGTACTCAAGGACACGCGCGCCGAATCAGTATGTTCGAAAAAATCACACTGTCTTGATGGGACAACGGAGAGTTGCGGAAGTCCCCGTGACTGAATAATTGCAGCCAGGTGATTCATAAGAGAAGTCGGACCCGTTGTCAAGAGCTTCGAGTGAGACGACTTCCTCCCTGGGACTTTCGTGCACGAGAATAGTGCTGGCGGCCCTCGATCCTATCGAGAACAAGAAGGGTTCGATAGCCGGCCAGTTCCTATGAAATTGCATTTATATATAGGCACTCGGTTCGATGCGGGGGAGAATATTCGACGCGATAGTCTACCGAGAATTGCCTTGACAGGTACTTCGCGCGGTACCGTTCGCTCGTGACAGTTGCACACGCACCAGCAGTCACACATCTATCGAATAGCTACGTGATTGAAAGCAGGCGGATATAGTCATGAACCTGTATCCCGATCCTCCGTATCCACCGAAGCCGCTGCCTCCTCCACCTCCTTGCAGGAAATCCACTGGCACTCCCTGCTTCGCGAGATGGTCACGAAGATTGTTGAACAGGAAATCCATGTCAGCCCCGGTTGAGATCGAAGTTTGGTCATGCACGGCACCTCAAGGCTTTAAGACTTTCTCTCGAGAATCTAGAGTTCAGCGGAGAAAATGAAAAGACGACGAACGTCGCCCCACACACCAAAATCGGCTCTCGCCTGCACGGATGATTCTGTGTGTGAGAGCCGCTGCCGTGAAAGAGCAGCAGACTGTTGTTATTTGGGAGCTGGCGGCCGGCTGTCGTCGACAGCCAGCAAGGAAAGCAGTCAGACGGGCAGCCCGGCAGACCACTCACGGCGTTTATTCAAACGTTACCGCCCTATCCGTGCCTGAGCTCGTATCCACCAGGTGGCGCCGGAGCGGTATGCCTCGGAAGAATACTTGACCAAGATAATTCATTTCCATTGAAATGGAGCGTCTCCGAACGAAAGTATGATATAGCCCGATAGGAATAGAACGGCTAGCCTCTCTCTTCCAACCGTCAGCTCGTTGCTGAGAGGGAAAGTTCGTAGGAAGAGCGACGGAAAAGCATTCAGACTTCAAACTAATTAGAATAGCTAGAACATGGGTTTAGCGTGACACAATCGTACCGGAATTAAGTTTCAGCTTCCTCGGCGGTCACGATTTTAAAATTAGTTCATACATGCAAACGGACCGGATATGTTGAGAATGAATGGATGAAAGTCTATCCCCGTTCCCCGAGTGGAGAGCTAACTCCCGTTACAGACTTGTTCGTTGCTTCCTCCGGGCGATCTTGGTTCCAATTATTCCTCATTGTTGGATTGTTCAAATACTGACGAATTCCAGACATTTATTATCCAAATGAATCCACGCTCGTATATTCAGCACAACATTTAAATTACATGAATCCTCGCCTAGGATCGACGCAGATCGAACAGATCGCCGAGCGACGAGCGAAGCTCAACTCTGCGGAGTTTTCGACGCACAAAACTGACGGAAATCCAAAATCACGAATCTTGACGGTTCCGAGCACGAGAACGAAAACGAGACATACTATCAGCTAAGTGGCACTGAGTAGGGTTCGAGTGGGGACGAAGATTCCTCTGTGGGAATTCGCTTCGTGAGCGGATCCAGGATCTGCCTCAGTCTGTTCAGGAGGCGGTATTCATATGGAACTCAGTTCGAGGCCGAGAAGCCCACAATTCCGTATCTGCGTTCGCTCCATTGGTCCCCGAGGACCAAGAACGCAACACTTCAAACACACACGTCACTCCGGCTACTTCGATTTACGAGAACGATGGACGTGATGATGCTCGCCGTGGCTCATCGCAACCACATGATGGTGATGGTGGTGGATTGGCACCGGAATCGGATAGGGCATCGGCGGCGGTGCGTGGTGTGCAGGTGGCGGCGGTGGGGGTAGTCCTGGATGATGGGGCATCCCCATCGGCGGGAAGCCGCCGCCCATCATGGGAAAAGGTATCGGGATCACATTTGGCTGCATCGCTTTACCGATGATGGCCCATTTCGCAAGTTTTTTCAGCTTGAGCATCTCGAAACCTCCGGCCGCGACGCAGAGACATCCGAAGAAACACAGAACCACGGCGCTCCGAAATCTGAGCGACATCCTCGTCGACGAATGGAATTGGCCGTTTGTGGCTTTCGCAGCGACCGACAAGGCACAAATCGCGTCGGGAGTTTTTGTCTGGAGACCGAGTCGAGTCTAATGTGTCGATAACTCGTTGAGTATCCAAGGTGTAGAGTCGTCGTCGACGTTTCGTCGCAAAGAGGCACCGCACCGCCCACACTCCTTGTTCTAGCTAAAGGCTGTTGCTTTTCCAAGCGGTGGAAAAAGAATGCCGCTAATGCAGTCGGATCTCCCAACTTATATCGCGTGACGCTCCAGCTCCCAGAGCCGGAGCTCGGCTTTGGGAAGTGGAGATGCAGAGAAGATATGGCGTCAGATAGAAAGAGATATGGAAATCAAAACGAATCCATTGATTCGACGAGACAAGCGAGCGAGCAAGAGAGAGAATCAGCAAACTAACAGACCGAGCGTCAACCTGGACATTCCGCTCGTAATGAAACATTTGCCATGCGAAGTAACTTCGGTGCCGAAACAAGCTTACAGGCTACTGCGTTAGCTTCCCTCGGTCAAACAAGAACAACAACACCACAGAGCAAATCACCATCCTCACCCCGAAGTCTATCAGGTAGCTAATAATGTTTTGCTAAGCGATCGACGTTTCACCCGATATCTAACGAGTAGTTCCGAACGAATATTGGGCAGAAATTTCGCAAGTGTTCTCGGCTCAACACCCACAACTGAGGGCGGTATCGCGAATCCGACAAAACCGCAGACATAACAAATCCCCTGAAGAAGGGAGCTCTGACACCGAGAACTCCGTCTATCCCGACTTGTTCGTTGAAGCGATGGGTTTGCATTGACATAATAACGAAAATGACGAACGGCGCGTAGCATATGCCGATCACGGAGACGTCGATAAGCGCGATCAAAATCTCTCATCTTGTCAAGCCCTCCAACAGTCGTGAAGCGTTGTTCGGATTTTGAGCGTTGAAATTCCGCAATTTTGAAGCAGTCTTCGACTGGGAGAGTCTACCTCATAGTTGAGGACTTCCCTTCGATCACGATTCAAATGTGTGCGTCAGATTGGACGGTTGTGCTGATGCTATTCCGAGGAGTCCATCAATGGCAGTGACGACCAAGTAATGCGAGCAATCAAGGAACTTCATCTAGCAGTGGACACCTCGATTGCGTCAACGAATGTCGCAGCACTTCGTTCGTCTCTGGTCGATTTTCCCGGCTAGAACACGGTGACCGTGGCCGTGCAAATTTTGGGAGCGAATCCCGAATTCTACTCGTCGTTTGCTACTCGGATTCGACAGTTCGCCAGCACATAAGCTCCGTAGGAGCAGTGATCAAATATTTTATTCGCGGAAGTCTCGGGACTCGACATCAATTGAATGTTCAGATTCCAACAAGCTGCCAACTCACCCTGAAGACAGTTAGTGAACTCCTGGGATTGTCGATGGCGTACGGCATCTTTTAGTTTATCGAGATCCGGCCCAACTTGACAGAAAATGCAATAAATTGAACGGATTGTTGAAGGCTCCTGTCGACAATGTAAACTACACGGAGCATTGGTTGACGCGATGGAACGCCTTGCAGCCGCCGAGGTCAGGTCTCCACCCAACGAACAAGCATAAACAAGGAGCATGTGGAGGGACCCGGGAACTTTGCGAACACCGCGCCACCATCGGAGATTGAAGCAAATCCTCTAGGAGGAGGCTGCAACGCGCGCTCAGCCCCCGGTGAGTCGACATGCGGCTCGTGATTTTCCGTGAGTTTGCGGATTGTCGATCCGTTGCTTGTCGATATACGTCACCATTGAGCTGGAATGGGCCTTTGAATGGACTTTTGGCCCTTATTCAAAGGTGCGAAAATTGATACCGTAGGCTGGCGCTTGCTGATATTGTCGTTTCTGAGCCAAAAGTTGGAGCAGATGTCGAAACGCGCATTTTTCGTCGTCCTGACCGGTTCGATTTCTTGGGAAAGCGAATCACGCTGAGGTCATTCAGCACATCTGTTCCTGGAGTCATTCGCGACAACTCTTACTGAGAACTACCATTGAATAAATTACTTATTTATTGTATTCCGCATAATCGGCGTAGATTTCTTCCGGTGACATTATCGGCAGTCGTCTCCATCTCTCGATAGAGGTATGGGAAGGCGGTAGGATCAACATGAACAAATTCCGAGGAGCAACGCCTCCGAATAAGATAACATCATTAAAACAGAATTTCTAATTCAAGTTCCTCTAACAACATCTCAAGAACGATAACCACGATGCGCGATGGGAGCTGCGTAAACTGGCGCTGCGTAAGCCGGGGCGGCGTAAACGGCTTTTTTCACTTGAGGGTAATATCCTCCCTCGGGAGCCGATGATTTGATCAGAGCACTAGCCGGAGCCGAGGTCTTGGTACCTTCCTCGTTGGTGTCCACCTCAGTGTTGAAGCCGTATTCAGGATCTGCGACGTACTTCACCAATCGCGAGGTCCCGTCGGGATTTTGAACGGTGTATTGACCGCTCACACGACCATAAGCGTCACCTTGGGCGGCGTGACTCGAATAGCCTCCGTAAGCATCTGGACCTTCGTACTTGAAAGCGAAGGGTTTCGGGGGCTCTAATTTTTCACGGAGTAGCGATGGGGACACGTATCCTGGTGGAGGCAACGGCACGGACTGGAGTGTTTGAACTCCATAGCCTCCGTATTGCTGAGCGTAGGCGACTCCAACGAAAAGCAGTGGAAGAACGAATTTCATGCTTCTGTTGTGACGGACAAAAATCAACGGAACAGCGATCAGTGGCTAGCAAGCTGTACAGTGTCTGACAACAAACACAAAATGATAAAAACCGCTGAAGGTCGCGCTGGCGCGGGGTAAGCGTTGCCATACGAGTCCCTCGCTCGCCTTCTTGGACAACGGTAGCTGAAATTGTTCATACGAAAGTTTCCGTCGGCATCGTGTCGTTCACCACGTCAGGTGCTCCGGAACAAGATCACTAAATGGAAGGAGACACCGGGCATCGTCACAAATTCGATCGCGCGTAATTCTTAGTCATCGAGAAGGTGATTTTCTGGCGTGATCTCGGCTCGGAACGTTTGGTGGAACAGAGCACTTGGACAGCCGCAGAGGAGGGGGGACCTTTCCTAACGACGCGACGGGAAAATCTTCGGGGCGCAGCCACTCGGATTGAAAGACGCTTTATTCATATCGACGCCTTTTACGGTTCCGCAGTACCGAAGCAAATATCCAAGCTCATATTATCCTGTTATGCGGTTCTGATTCGCTAGCTCGTCTCTGTAGGCATTCGGCCTGAAAGGGTTAGAGTTCTGAGGTCTACTCGCGGTGTACGGTCGTCTCGTACCGAATCCAGGATTCGTTCCGCGATTGGGAGAGTTTACATTGTAATTGTAGTTCAACGACGGGTTATTGAAGGTAGTCTGCTGGTTGAACGAAGAATTGGGCGAGTAACCCCGAAAAGCTTGAGGACTTTGTCGCTGAACACTGTTGTAAGTCGCTCGAGGAGCGCTGTAGTCCCTCCGTTGTTGGTACAAACCCCTCCTCTGCTGATTGAAAACAGTGTTCGGAGATGCAGATCTTGAATCCGGCCTCCCTTGCTGATAGTTTCGGTAGTTTGCCAACGGCGCATTGAAGTTCCTCGGCTGTTGGCGCAGACCTCTATCAACTCCGAACGCTGGTCGTCGGGTGGATGCGCGATATGCGGAGCTCGCGGAAGCCGCGGGCGCCCTGGCAGTGTTGTACGGCGACTTCTTGTTCTGCGAGAAGCGACCACTGTTCCGAGCGTACGGAGCTCGTCTCCTACCGTCGCTGTAATCGTTCGTTTTGGGTTGCGGTTGATAAGTTTCCTCTGGTGCGGTCGAGACTATGGACACGTTGGCCGGCTCGGATGTCTTGGTGCCCTCCTCGTCGGTCTCAACTTCAGCGAAAAATCCGAGCTCCGGGTCCGCGACGTACTTCACGAGTCGAGAAGTTCCGTCAGGATTCTCAACCGTATATTGACCGGTGATCCGTCCGTTTTCGTCTCCCTGAGATTCGTGACTCGAGAAGCCCCCGTACGGGTCTGGACCCTCATATTTGTACGAGAAGGGTTTGGGAGGTTCTTGCTGTTGCCGCAAGGACGACGGAGACACGTAACCCCGGGGTGGTAAGGGAACCGATTGGAGATTCTGAATGCCACCTGTTTGCTTGCCGAGCTTCTGAGCGGTCACCACACTCACGATGAAAATGAGTTCCAGTCTCATGTTCCCTTCGGAAGACGATGCACACGGTTCGCTTTAACTAGCATAACTGAAATTCGTGGATTTCTGCCGAACAGAAGTGATGCTAACGCAAGGTGAGCGAGTTAGTCTTTCGATAAGATAATGGCAGCGCATCGTACATTCGAAGAGCGAGACGAATCCGGCCCTCACCACCGAGAGCTTTGTCGTCGCACATCATTATTTTCTTCGACAGACAGAAGAGAAGAAGGCGGATTTGCGAAGACCTCCAACTTAATCGTCGCGAATACGGGACTGCGATGAAAGCTTTTGACTGAAACTGGAGTTTAGAATCTTGTGCTACAATGGCTCTCCGAATTTTCCCAGACGGCCCCGTTCAAGCGGGATCTTGATCTGTGGTTCCAGAGATCCTCCTTGACCTGAGTTCCGCGGAACCCTAGGTTTCCGCGAGCCCCTGCTCGGCTGACTTTCATTCATTTTATCGAATTGGAATGAATTTTCTAAGCTCTAATGCATGCATGATACTTCATGCGATCGTGGTCGAAGGTTTTGAGGTGATTAAGGGGAATATTTGAAGAGATAGAGTCCGGAACCAATAATAAGGGTTCCGCGGAACCCCACCAGGGCAAAAAAGGTTAAGAACCCCTGCCCTTGTGCATCTCACGAGTCCACCGTTCCCGAATCGGAGACCGCCATTCTCCCACGCATTTCCCCGCTGAATCGATTGCAGTGTGATGACTGTGATTTCCTTCTGCCTCGATTCCATTCCTTGTGTCGATTTTGTTGACAGATAGTCAACGCCTTCGATTACGTATTTTCTGCCGGCAGAGTTATCGGCTGTTCATAGAACGTGTTCGGCCCGGATCACCTTCACCTCTTAACGTGAAAGGTCATGTTGGGTGCTCCCCAGAATGACAAGAGAAAGTCTTATTAGAGACTCGAGAATCTTCAAAGAAATGACTTTTGAAAGTCAGGCTCGGCAGAAAATTTCAGATCCATGCCTTCATCGCTTCCGTGGTTTCAAGGTTCAAGCGCTGCTGTATGATTATTATCGGAAAATAGCGATTATTGAAAAAGTCAGGTCGTGAGCTCCCGGCCAGATCTAGGATCAGAATCCGTTCATCACTTTTCCGGCCAACGAGACTAGAGGCAGACTTGTCGAAACGTCCCATGTGGAATTCATCCCGGAGCTGCAACCAGCCGATGTCGAGAAGATCCTACTCGGCGCAATGTACAGCTTACACGTACGATGTCGTTCGAAGAAACACTATCGCCTACGTGACCATTGTTGATCGACGGCTCATCTGTTTTGTTTGTGATGGTGCATCGAAGCGCTTGAGAACAGTGTCGCGAGTTTCACGCCAGAGACTAAGGCTTATTGACTGTTGGAGACAATCCAGAAAAAAGTCAGCGGTCTCCCTCGCGACCTTGATGGAGCAAGAGCAGCAGGATCCCAACGTTGCGCAAGATCATGAACCCTGTGCATCCGAACCTGGGGGCCCGAGTCAAGCGAAGAGAGCCAGGAGCGAAGACGTTGACGACTCCAAAGATGTGAGAAGGAGCGGACGACCAAAGAAACCCGTCCAGAGGTTGCAAGTTACTCATGCGGAGGCTTCTGGATCGGCGCAACCGAGGCCGAAACGTCCGAAGAGAGGACTGAGCCGTATCGATGAGGTTAGGCTCGGTATACTCCACAACAAAACTTGCTATGTGAACTATGTCACTCAACCACCTGGGCCGAACATGATCGAAGTGCAATTAGAAGACTACTCAGACTGATATTCGAGAAATCATCGCTTTCAAATGCTGGTCCCCCCGTGATTCGCTCTTCTTGCTCTACGCCTCCTATTCTTCTTCTTTCACCCAGCGATCTCGCCTTCCGCGCACCTTTTTTCTGTACATCACCTTCACTCTTCTCCAGGTTCCTCCTATCCTTGTATGTGGAGGAGTTCGCGAAGTACGCGAACTACCCTCTTAAATTCCTCTTATGCTACCCTTAAGACAGTGACTGAATAAATCGAATTCGAGCAATCTAATTTGGTCTCCTCGGAACAGGGAGAACAGTCACTTCGGGCCCTGGAGGAATCAGACGGAAGTCGACAGATGTTCCCTCTCTACGCCCCTGTGGCTTCTCTCGGCTTGAGCGGACGGACGATCGAGTGCGCTTATCTTGTCTTCCGAGGAGGGGCTCAGTACCTCTAAATGCTACACTCCAGCGGAGACGTAAAACTTCTGATTTCAGCTCTGGGACTTGGTTGGCGAATAGGGGACGATCTAAAAAAAAGTGAAGTGTCTCTCACTCGGATCAAGGGTCCGCGAGAGGCAGTCAGGGATCCGTTTTCGCAGGAATTGGCTCGCGTGTCTCTAAATTTCCCTCTGATTGAATCGGTGTATAGAGGGTCTCGGAAATCGTGACTCGAAATATATCCTCACGATGATGCAATGAATCGGGGTGCTCGGGGGAATTCGACAGGAGAGTTCCTCCACGACGTGCCGTCGATCTCACGGCGAGCCGAATCGACTAGCCATCTTTCTCTTGTGTGTACACAAAGATTTCCACGTGAGTCGAAGAAGACATTGAGAATGGAACCGTATTTAGATCTTGTGTCGATTCTCGCTAATTGTCCCTGAAATGGACTCTACAGACGACGAATCCGAGAATGACAAAAGGGTGTTTTTTTTGTTAAAAACACATTTTTATTGATATTTGGCTTGTGGCATGGGGTCGATTCGTACCTAAGCGGCGGCCTGTTCCTCGGGGTTTTCACATCCCTTGGTGAGGACGTTAGCCCACCTCTTGAGGTTGATTTTCGAGCCATCCATGGGAGCCTCAGCGAACACATCGTTAGCTTCCTGTTCAGTCAATTTTTCGCCGAATGTGCACAACATCTTGCGGAGTCTGAAAACGATATATCACGACTTTAGAAAATATTGCCAATTAGACTTCGTGGCCCGGAAACGCGGGTTCGCCTCGAATAAGATCACGAAGCGAAAGGTTCCTTTGTATCTGAAGCCTCCCTAGGAATCTATGGAAATGCTTCGCTATCGAGAAGCGCCACTAGTGGGCGTGCCATATATAGGGATGACCGGGCGTGGTCGGCCGCGCAACAAGCAGGTCGCTTTCCACAGGCACTTTTCACAGTGAACCCGGAAAGAAGAACATGATCAATGCTTATTCGTCCCAGTTCCACAGTCTCGGAAGAAATCACTCACTTGTCCTCGGTGCAGGTGCCGTCTCCGTCATCGAAGATGGTGAATGCGTTCACGATGGTCTCCTCCTCATCCATACCACCGGCCTTGTTGGCGAAGATGGTAACGAATTGGGTGAAGTTGATGGGTCCAGAGGCCTCAGACATCATTTCGTCGAGTTCCTTGTCGCTCGTCAGACGGCCCATCTGATCAAAGGTGGCGCGGATATCGTTCTTCGACACAATACCTGAAGTGCACGCAGAGGTCACCACACTGGGGAACAGGTTGTCGGTCACACACGGGGTCGGCCACAGACGTAGACCGGGAGACGCTCGGGGAAATAACTCGGAGCAAGCGCGAGGAAAAAATTTTAAGTGTTGCATCCGAACTTACCATCTTTGTCCTGATCAATAAATCCAAAGGCTTCCTTGAACTCAGCCATCTGGTTCTGGCTGAACATGGAGAACACATTGGAGCTGGACTTCACTGCCTTCTTCTTGGATCCGGCCATTTCTGAGCCTCTGTGTAGTCTTCTCGGTGTGAAGAAGAAGTTGTTGGATGCCTACAGGCCTCTGGAAAACCCTGAAATGCAAAAAGAAAGGTCAACAAAACAAAACCGAGGCCTCAACAATGCTTCTCCGCGTGACCTACTGAGCGAGCCGATATTCCGAGCGAATGGACCCGATCCCAGGAGGAGTCGCGCTCCGGAACCGCATTCGTGATCATTACTTTTCCAGACGTCGATGCACTCCGCTGGATCACACCAAACAATCAAATCCGACAGATGGATACGATGGGAAAGCGGACGTAGAGTGAAAATCTTAACCTACCCAAGCCAGTGGCTGCAAGAGACTCAGGACAATGCCGAGCTTGGACCGTGATCTGAGAGAACGGTGGAGGGCAGCCGGCGAGAGAAGACCTCTACAATTGGCCCGATAGTCTCGACCCCGGTGTTCTGCATAAGGTCCGGTGAGCCCTTGCCAGGGCTGACCCTCGCGGAAGCCAACCAGCCGACCAACCAAGCAAGCATCCGACAGAACTAGCTATTTTTACCAACAGGGTCTTGTCGGGGTCTTCCTCCCTAGCCTACAGTCTTTCTGGCCCGTAGGCGCCTATAGAGAGACCTGGCTATTTTGTAGTAACCTTTTGACTCGGGCGGAATGCAACAGCAGCAATAGGGGCACACTCACGCAAACAGCAGTGCACGAAACTCAATTTTGACAAGTCCAAAAATTTCGTTGCGAACAGGGAAAAACGACACTCCTCGGAAAACAAGCAATCGTTCAAGACTCGCACTATCCGCTGAAGACATGTATGAAGGAGAGTATCTGGACAACCGATTCAATGACATGAGAGATCATTGTCCTCGCGCTTTTCGTAGAGGGGAAATCGTCTCGTTCGGATGCTCTCCCGGTAGCTCTTCAAGCTGTCCATCTCAGATTCGGGCTGGAGAGAGGCTTCCGCGAGTTCTACGAGCCAGAGGGATTCCTCAGATCGACAATATCGCGCAATGTCCCCCGTCAGTAGCTCCTTGATAAACTTCCTGATCATCACGAGCGTCTATTGGAGTCGAAACGCTTCCGTACCGTCGCGGAATAAAGCGCCGAGATCATCTCGGCGTCTCTTACACTTATACACTTTCAAATTAGACTTCTGAGGCGGCATCTTGGCGCTGATCTCGCCCCCTATCCGCCGAGAATCTCGTCGATGGATAGGGTCTGTTTGTTGAAGCTTCCCGTCCCGCTCCTCTGACAGGCCCGGAGATGTCGCGGGATCTAGCGGCGCAAATCGTCACACGCAGCACGAGCTGGGAATCCGTATGTGAAGCCTAGCATAAAATGCTCTCGATATGCCGAATTCATACAGAGCATGGACGGTATCACTCCCAGTTGGAACTCCCGGAATGCCCTGACGGAATGACTCCGGAATCCGTCTGGTAACTTGTTCTCCCGAGAGGAGCAAGAACCGGGATACGACAGCAGAACTGATTTGTATTCAAAATGGGGCCCGCAAACCGGACGGGAAAAATTCGGCGTCGAGACATACCACTTCCTTCATGTGGTCTCTAGAACCCTAATCCGTCAAATTACTCCGGGCTGATACTAGATAAGTATCATCGAATCGAGATTGAGAGTCGCTCAAGACCCTCGAACGAGACACACTTGATATATTATTATCACAGGCAGCATCGCGAGCGATATCGCTAGATGACAGACTTCAGGAGATCCCCGACTCAGGTGATCAATTACCGGTCTTCGGGAAACCCCCCAGTTTTTATGGAGTTCACGCACGACACCAAATATCTAAACAAACTGGTAATCCGAGGGGGAGTAACGGAGACACGTGAGCGGTGGATCACTCTCACTAACCTTTCCGATGGCGTAGTGAATGGGTCTCTGGAAAGGCGTTTATTTAACTCAGATAGCCGGTCCTCCTCGCTTGCCATGAGAGAGCACCAGAACTCATGCCATAGGCCCAAACACCGGTCGAAGACAGGGGCTCGAAGGGAAAGCTATCGCGCAACAGATGCTCATCGCAACAATCGCCAACATCTTCACGTGGCACACGATATTTTTCCATTTTTTCTGCAACCTTGCTATCGCATCGACAGGGTTCTGCTCCATAAAGCGCACATCGGTTATGGAGAAAGGAGAAAGCAAATCAGCGTGACCGTCGTAGGACGTTCATTCATATCCAAATAGTGCGGCATCCATCATCATGCGGATTTCCATTCTTTGAATTCTTGGTTCATTCATTTGGGTCTCCGGGATGGCTCCAACGGTGAAAAGGACCGGCAAGACCACAGGATATTGCCGAATTCGTTGGATTGAGGTATTCTCAATCTGATGAACCGCGATACCGCCTCGTTTTCCGTTTGAGAGTTCTTCGATTTAATCCTCCTTCAAACTCGATGATCGAGCATCAGGGCGAATACATCCAATCTATTACAAATGGACTCCTTTTTCCCCTGGTGAGTGCCCTTCCCTGGGAAGAGCACATTCTCGTGAGAGGAATATCCGTCTTGCGTCGCCTCGGAGGCAATCACCAGGGGACTTGCGTTGGTGGGACAAATGAGGTCGTCACATCAGGGAAGATGTGGAGAAAGGTACATCGAATGTTCCTCTCGCGAGAAATTCGTTGTACGGTCGAACCCGCTTATGAGAGACCTCTCGGGGAATTGGAAATGGTCTCTTATATTCGGTTCCTCTAATATCCGAGGTACGGGTTTTCCATGGAAAAACCTGAGGAGTCCCGTTCTCGTATGACTTGGATGCCCATACGAGGATCCAGCACAGAGACGATCGTTTTCAGAGCGAATTCTGATTTATTACGGAAGTTCATCAGAACCATATGTTATTCGGGCAGCTGTCGAGTGCTCGATACGATATCCCGCACGAGCGAGAGGACGTTCACGGGGAGATTCTGAGGGTTCCCCGGAGGCGGGTGCCGGGGGTCACGCCGTGCGTTGATCAATCCTCTGCCGGCGGACGGAGATGACAGCTCTCTTTCACTTCGCTTGAGAACGCGTGGCCGCTGGATTTTTCAGGGCAAACTGTCAGAATACCACATTCGAAAACAGAGTATGTCTGTCTCGCGTGAGTGAAACATCACTCTCGTGTGATTCCAAGTGGCTTCACGCTAATTTACCTACCTAGAGCATACGAATCATCCTTCAGACTTGCCTGCCGACACCTAAGTAAGTTTGCCTGAGCGCTCATGGACGCGCATTTGAGAGACAGTAGCGCGGAAGATATGCTCTCCGATGCTCTCGAGCGCGAAATTCTTTCTCTTCAAACCAGGAAATCGGCCCATCGTTCTCATCTGGGCGTCAGATGGACCCGATCATCAAGGTCCAATCATATTGGACGGTGAAAACTCCGCGGAAGAGCCGCTCCGCCGGCCGCTCGATTAAATTTCGTGATGTGGGAAACACCTCGCATTACCACCCACTCGACCGGTTCGTTCATGAAAGATTTGCGTTCTTATTTTAGGCTAGGGATAGCTACGTTTTAAAAAAATGTCCGAATATCTCCTTTCCCGAGACTTTCTTCCCTCTCTGCGTCCTCCGACGCTTCGATGTCTACAATTTCGACATTGGTTATAGTTGCTAACTCAGCAAATCATTCTGACATTCGCTTCTGAACCCCTGGCGACTTCACGACATGGTGAGTCCCGTTGAATCGATAGACGCCTCGACAGCTCGTTCACTCCACGAATGTGTTTTCCAGTGTCTAGCGCTCTTCGTGCCGCTCAGTGAGGGCTTTCCGGGGAAGTGCGCGCGGGCACGAGTGTCTCGCCACAATTCACAATGGCCAGCGTACCCTCGGATATGACTGTGCTCGATTCTCGCACGAGTCCCGCGCACCGAGTCGATGTGACCATTCGGTGCCGGTCGATTCGATCGCCCTGGCCGAAAGCACTCACTCGAGAGCTCGTTCCGAGCTTCTTTGTGAATATTTCCCAAGGTCTCGCTGTGGCCCGACAACCTGTTCCGCTTTCACGAGCGGGTGGCCCGGAAGGGAGACAAGAGCCTCAAACACGCTAAGGTCGAGGCCGATTATTACGTATCTCTATCGGAACCGTTTCGATCGATCGTCATCTCTGGAAGTTTTCGCCGTACTCGTTGGGAGAGAGATCCTGCAGCAAGCGCCGACCCTCATACACGTAGGACGGACAGTATGAGATCGCGGTCGGTCCGCCATCATGAGCCCTAACTCGAACGAAATCAATCTGATCTGAGGCGCTACGCTCAAGGTTCAGATTGATTCTGATGCTTCAGCTCAGCGGCTTTCGAAGCCGGAGCACTCTCGCTCGACATCAGCGTGGATGAAACGAGAGCAGCCTCGACAGGCTCAAGACTCTGGCCGGAGTCGCTTCCAACGGGCTGCTTTACGGGTTGCCTTTCTGACTGGAAAGCTGGCCACTCTCGATTTGAGAACGAGCTCGAACGAGTGGTTCTGAGCCGAGCTCAGCTCGCCGAGTTTCTCTCGCGGCGAACCGTAAAAGGCGCTCCTTTCGAGCCCACGACGCCGTCGCAGCGAATCTGAATTTCTAAATCACGGTGGCAGGATCCGCGCGGCTTAGATGAGATCCTTATCGCGGACGCGAAAAAGTGCTCGCTCCGGATCCGCGTCACGCCAAAGCCCCGCTAGGCCCCGAGGCAACGCTCATTCTTCCCAGAGAGGAAATACCACCTCCAGGTCCGGAATTGAGTCCCAAGCGGCTCGAAATTATTGCAGCACTCGGAATCGATCCTCCGATCGCAAATTGTGCTCTGAATTGACTTCATGATACGCTCAAGGGGCTGGGAACGAATACCATGGGATAGGAACCCCAAGCAGTTGCGTTCGGGCCTACTAATAAAACTCGGTCGAATCGCCATCACTGTGTCGAGAGAGGTTTTTTTTTGCATGAGTTTCGAACTGCGAATCTACCTGGCCGACGCCGCTCGGCTGACTGGTTGCTCTGCTGGTTGGCTCATAAGGAAAGAATTTGCGGAAGCAGAGGTCTGGGAGAGTCAAGCTGCGGACCAGCCGGGCAGCCCTGTAGGCGAGCAAGAGCCCGAGTTCGAGGCCCTGGGAACGGATGGGTCCGTTAGCTTCACCGGCTCAGAGAGTATAGGAAGCGAAGGGAAGAGCTCAAAGTTTTCCAGATACTTCGAATACAACGTCGGCGACACAAATATCTGATTTCAGTTCCTAGATTTCGACCGTACGTATATCCCGTATCCGGTTTCCCCGAACGCCGCTCGCGGGGCGAGGGACGCGTGAAGTTTTCTTCCCGACAATGGCGGGCAGGGGTTCGGCATTGACGCAGTGTGGAGCAAAGGAAAATTGAGGGGATATTGTTATTAGCCATAGGCTTCCAGTCAACCTGAGCCTGTCACTTCGTTAAACCCCTCAGAGAAATACGCGTAGGACTTTTCCAGGAAAATCGATAAGAATGAGTGAGACACACGATCGAGGCTCGTGCACATCGGCTCCGAAAGTCAGACAAGCCGAACTCAACCTCCGGAGGAGTTCTCTGAGACAGAGTGTCAAGAATGCAGTCCCTCGATCGCTATCTATCCAGGCGTTGACAGTGTCACTGGACGATGCGTTCGAACGATTATTCTGCTATCGCGCGAAGCCGGAAAAGCATTAGACCCGTTCTTCACAAGGGATGCTCGGCAAGCCTGCTCGACGTTCCGACCTTGACAGTTATATTATGTATGCCGTTGAACTCTGGGAGAACAAAGCCGTACATTCGCCGACTACAGCGGAGCCGATCTGAGAGGAATCCTCCGAGCTGATATGCCGTCAATGAGTTCTGAGGGTTGACGAATCCACTTTTGGAATCTCGCCAGGCTTCTCGATGCCTTAACCTCGGGATGTTTCCCTTTTGCTCATCGGTCATGTGGTAGCTCCGAAATTCCCCGGCTGGAACTCACCTCGGCCCTCAATCATGGAAGTTCTCCATAAAATCCTGCTCCGAAGTTCGGGCTCGTGGTGTCCCGGGAACGGCACTTCAACCTTCGATTTTTCCCCATATCATTGTTCTCATCTATGGACTGATTTCCGTCAACCCGATTGCAGCGGTCCTATTACTAACCCAAGCGCGGCTTCCTCCCTCAGTCTGACGGCAAAGACGCTGCAAAGAAGAAGAAGTCTGTCAAGAAGACCAAACCCGTTGATGATGTTGTTCCCGAGTCGGCGGCTTCGATCTCGGTTCCTGTACCAGATCCTGAACCCCCCGCTCCGGAACCCAAAGACACATCGACCAAGAAACGGGCCGCTAGAAGTGGATCCAACGTATTCGCAATGTTCACTCAAAATCAAATCGCGGAATTCAAGGAGATCTTCGGATTCGTCGATCAGGACAAAGACGGTCAGTCTCAAATCATTATATAGAAGTCTCAAATCAGCAGTAATAATCATACCTAGAGATTTCGTATTGCAAGCGTCAGCTCATTATCTCAGCCGCGTGACGCTCCGCTTTTTTTGCAGGCATCCTTTCGAAGAGCGACCTGAGAGCCACCTTCGAGCAGCTCGGAAAAATTTCGAGCGACCAAGAATTAGACGACATGATCAAAGAAGCGGGCGGACCGATCAATTTCACCCAATTCCTACAAATTTTCGGGAACAAAGTAGCTGGCATGGACGAAGAAGAAGTCATCTATAATGCCTTCACTGTCTTTGACGAGGGCGATGGGCTCTGTGAGGAGGGAAAGTGGGTACCTGATATTCTCTAGGGCTGACAAAGACAATCGTACTCTCAGGGAATTGCGACCACTGACTGACATAATTTTTTCAGACTCCGTAAGATGCTGACGACTTTCGGAGAGCGTCTCACCGAGAAAGAAGCGACGGATGTATTCAATGAAGCACCCATGAACAAGGAAGGAAAGATCGACTTGAAGAAATGGGCGAACCTGCTAACGAAAGGCGTAGAAGATGAAAATCAATGATATCATTGCCTCGATGCCACAGCACCCGCGGAACGTGTCCCGACGAATGCGATCCCGACCAATCGACAGCCTGCCCGATGTACCCACTGCCCGTAATAAACGCCCTCGTCTCCGAGCTCGTTCCGGATAATCGATCTACTTCGGTTCGCGCTCAACCGCTCGAAAGAAAACGCTTCTCGATCTTTTCTAAAACCTCTTCCCCTGTCGGACTTCTTTCCCTTCATAGAAATTTCAGAGCATTACAGCGCGTTGTGATAGATTTCACATACACTCGAGCGAATCCATGCTTACACAGTCCACGATCAAAAGCTTGCACAAACTATAATACATTGAATGTGTCCTAAGCAACGATCTCTCCGAGGATCATTGCTAGAAAACGCGTTCATCATTGCATTCCAGGCCGTATTTGTATCGCAAGTGGTCCTGAAACTCGAATCGCAGAGCTCGATTCGACAATCTGTATGTTGCATTCTGCAGGTGGTCCGCGAAATGTGTGGAGAGCCTACATGCACCAGAAGAGAGAAAAGACAATCAGAGAGATATCCCGATCCTCGCCCGGTGCGATCCATCATAATTTTTCTTCTGAAGAATCAATGAGTGCACCTCACCTGTGCGGAACGTGAATGAGCCACGAGTCAGGCGCAACCCACAAGTTATAACCCGCCACCCTCAACTCGGTCATGTGGCTGATTTTGTTCATACCATAACCTGCATAGAGAAGATCAGTGTCTAAGGATATCACGGTGGTCGCCAAAGCGAATGCGGCGGTAAATCATCGATTGTTCAGGAATTATTGATGTCAGGCTTCGACTCACCGACGAACTTCTCCCAATACAAGGGCAAATGAGCGTTCTTCTCAATGACCAGATAAGGCTCGAATTTGTCAGAGAATAAATGAACCTCATAAGGTTCTCGAGCCGTGTACCAGCGCCAATAGTCGGTCGCTGCATGTGACTGAGGAGCATCTTGGCGGCGGAAAGGACACACTATACCCTGGAATGAATGCATAGGAATCACCCACCGAACATTCGATATGCCACGATATCGTCGGGAGTTCGCTCCCGAATGGGATATCCCGGACACGGATCGAATACACGAAGAACAACGGAAGGGTTTTCTGAGAAAAGAATGAATCATATTATGATGATACAACATGCCGAGGGCTCGATCGAACCTGAGCGTGTATGAGCTGCATGAGCTCGTGTTTGTTCGCCGCTACAACATCGCTCTTGTGGGGAACGTCAGCGTATTCGAACGCAGGAATCACGACTGCAGATTTAAGAAACTTTTTCGTCCTATTTCGTATCAATGGGAGAACTTTTGGAGCCAAATCGGGCGAAGGTTGGAAATCCGCGTCCGCGAGCAGTAGGAACTGCGAATGAGCCTGAAATAGAATCGGAATTCGCGTGTTAATATTCCGTGGAATCGATTACGTAATGTCGGCTGCCGCGCGTCTGGCAGCGGTTGCCCATCATTAGGAATGATCGATTCCACAGGACCGAAATCGATATTGACCTGCTTGATAGCGATATTCCTCAGCGAGTTTATCGGATATTGCTCGGAGACGCTCGAAGCGTAGACGAGACAAACCACACTCGAGGGATGGAGTTTGAAAGCTGTGACCTTCTTCGAGATGTATAGACGTTGCCAGTCATCATCCGCGTTGCGAAGAGCCTTCAGCGGAGCGTAAATGACTAGGGACACTGGCATATCCCACTGATCGAGGGTGTGTTCGAGAACGCCCAAGCGATCCATGGAAACCTGGGTCACCAAAGAGATGTCGTCACGGAGACCTCCGAAATCTCCTTGATGTGGTTCACCTGGTCGGAAGCAAAAGTCAGTTGGACCTCACCTAAGCAGGATCGAGACCTGGGGATTCCCGACCCTCCCTTCCCGTTTTCAGTGATACCAGAATTGGGCGGCGATGAAACTCACCCAAAAGATAAACCGGTTTGTAGGGATGAATTTTCCCGTACTCTCGTTCGACAGGCTCGAGCTCCGATCGACAAGGACTTCCCTTCACGGGGGTCCCATCGAGCATCGCCACCATTTCCATTTCGGATAGATACACAGAACCGATGTATCCGTGGCAACCCGCCATGAGTGTGATGCTGTCGAACGTTTTATTCGGGGGAGCCACGTAGGTTGCGTAAGCCGGGATCGGCTCATCCGAAGGATGCCCCGTGAGACGAGATGTATCGATGGGAACCTCAACGAAAGCTTTCCCAGACGGTCGGAGGTCGATCATTGCGAGAAGACCTGTGAACAGATTCGGGGAATCAGCCTCCTCCTCGCAGCCCAAAGACTTTCCCGGGACCATTTCGAAATGAAGAGTAAAGGATCGCGGAAGTTGCGTCTTACCCAGAAAATATGAGACCGCCGCAGTTTCCAGCTGTTCGCCGTTCGCACGAACACTGAGAACGAGCTCGGAGGCTGGAGTTTTCAGCACAACATTCTGGTAGACGGCACGCACGGACGACTGACGACAATTTATGTGCAACGTTTTAGCGCACAACGACGAGGAGCCATCACCGCGAGGGTTCGTGGGGTAGTGGCATTGAATGGCCCAACTCACTGGACTCTGGTCGATCCACCAACGGTCTGACAGGAGCAGGTTCCCTCCACAAGGCGACAAGAGGAAAATCAATGTCACAAAATAAGTCACGAGCAGGCCCATTGTGCGAAAACCGAGAATCCAGTCGGCGAGAGCCTACGCGCACCGAAGAAAGGAACCTCCCGCTCTAAAGACCGGTACTTAAAGATGCATTTATTTTATAAATAGTTTCTCTCTAGTCCATATCCCTCCCTCTCGAAATGAACAATACTCATCGCACTCATACACCGGTTAGGGAATTTGTGTATGAACAGTGAAGCGGAAAATTTGTCACCGCGAATTTAATCGATTTTCTGCGGCACTTTCTCCTTCTCGGTGGGCTCGTCTTCTTTCTCGTGGTAAGCCTTGTAGACGAAGAGGAACACGACCGAGTGGACCGCCAGAACGGCTCCGATAGCCGCGACGATTGAAGCGGTCTGATGCTCCTCTACGAAGTGGATCAGCAAGCTTCTCAAGACGAAGAAGGTTGACAGCGGGAAAACTATCATGAGAAGGGTGAAAAACAGCAGGGTGGCCACTGGAGACATGTCTGAGAAGAGTTTCACTGAAATCAAAAAAGAAAAATGTCAACGACGCAGGAGCGGGCGAAGAAAACGGTCAGAATATAAGGAACCCTCCGGACCGGTGTTCGCCCCGCAGATTTCCAATCGGGATGCATGGAGCTGCGCGAGAAGCGGAATCTCTGCAAATCGACGAATGACGCGCTGACCGAGGAGACTAAGCGAAAGCTTTCCAGATTCTCATGGATCGTGCACGTCCCAGCCAAGCTCCGGAATCATATCTGAATTCTATGGTTCGATGCAGGGCACCGAGTATCACATGACTCGACCCGCGTGACAGACCACGAGGCGAAACTTTGGCCGAACCAGTTCCGCGAAACCCATGCTGAGCACACCTTGACAGGAAACATCCGGCGCGCGGGGCGTGGAATTGAGGCCCTGATGCCGACCTTCGGTCTCTCTGAGCCGAATTGAGTTCCAAATGCTGTAAGAGGGGAGCTCTTAATTCGCCGAGTGCCGAGCTCTTGGAGTCACTCCCTCGAACTCCGATTCCGACGACTCATTCAATCGGGGTCCACCCACTCCGCCAGATCGCGAGGCACTCTTTTCAAGAGACCGAGATGCGAGATCGATCGAAAAAGCTCCATTCGCTGCCGCATGTAATGTTGGTGCTTGAGGTATATTCTCAATCGTATCCTAATGATGCATTCTCGTGCTCGTCACATCATGTGCCGTTCCTCCCGCGCGGTGCGCAGAGCGCTTTTCCCATAGGGAAAATTTTAGGAGCCGCGAGGCAAGTTTGAGAACTCGGGGAGAGATCCGAGAACCTAGTTGGCGAGAGTAGAAAACTCACAAGATCCCTCCGAGAGCATGAGTGCTAAGCGTGCAGAACTGGACTAGTCCACCGTAGAGAATGAGATGGGATTGCCGGCGACTCTCCGTGATGAGAGTCAACTATAGACGCGTGGTTTCGATTTCGGTCAGATTATGCTTGAGCGATACCTTACGATCGTGATCGATGATTATATCGACGAGTGGTCGCCGAACGTACCATGAAAGTTGCACCGTTCAATTTGTTGACATCAATCAGTCGAAACTCGGCTACCGATGCAAGTAGACGACACCACACAGACGAGCGAAAGCAACGAACGTTCCCTTGTCAACAGGCACCGTCTTCCACATCTGATTTGGTGGGGCTCATCTGGCGCCATTTTTCAAAGTGGACGCGAGTTGGGCCAAGTTGCCCTCCATTTCGTAGTCATGGCCCAGAATCGCCGACAGGAACTCGGTGTTCGAGAGCTGGAATCTCCATGCGCGACGAAAACCGCGGCTCAAACCGAAGGAATTTCGACAACACCGGTCGCGAGCGGCTACTTACGGCCCTGGGTCGCCTCGCCACTGGGACAAGTCGGCGCTGATGGTTCTCATCCGCTGCTTCCAGCGACTCCTCGTCACCTTCTCTCCGCGCACTCGGAGCGTTCGATTTTCGCGAAAAAAGCTCGAGAACAATCAGAGATTTGACGCTTTTTTGAGTTCGACGTCAATTGGATTCTGCCGCAACCGTAAGTAGGAGTCCGAGGGCGTCGAACGCAGTCAGAATTTCATGAAATTACTCCCGAAACTTGTTTTCGAATGTTCCGTTCCAAACGCCGCAGGCCCCCGCAACAGCGAAAATACGCGAAAAATGCGCTCAGTTCGAGCGTACGGGGCTGTTCTACATCCGCATTATGACGTTCCCGCGCGGATGAGAGCGGGTTAAGTTGTTTTTACCGAGATTTTGGCGTTGCTCACCGATCAGCGTTAGGCCTAAAGCGATAGACGCTTGTTTCTGCGCTAGCCAGAAAGCTGAACGAATTGACAACTCTTTATTTCGCATTGAATGCACTCATCGAGCTCAGCGATGCTGATTTGATGTCTTGCCGATGAGATTTTCTAGAACCACATTCATCGACCTTGCTTTCATCGCGATCGGGGGCGAGGGTGATGCTCTCGGAGATCACTGCCCTTTTTCTGTGAGCGTTTTTGTTTTGATCGGCGCTGTTTTGAAATTCCGCATCATCTCTCGCGAAACTCCTCCGATAAATGTTCAGGGCAGTCGAATGAATCGCTGAGAGGGGTTGACGTTCGGTTCGATTTGTCGGCACACATGCAGTGATGTGCCCTGCACTTCACCGCACCGCATTCAGGCTCCTGGGTGCTCTCTGTCAGTCTCAGCTGATTGTTGAGCAGAAGCGAATCGATCAATTATACATGCCGGATGTTCATTTTTCGATGAATTATACATTCGACATCCCTTCCGCTAGACCCAGGTGGATCGCGGAGATTATCGTGCTGTCGGTTTGTTCGTTTGTTTATTTACTCGAATTGTTTCGTCGATGGTGGATGAGTCCGCCTACGGCCTTGTACGAGTACGAGGGCTTCCGTATTCTCCCCACCCCTGCGAGTATGGGCCCATGTTTATGGAAATCCAAGGCAAAAAGACGTACTCGTCGGCTGTTCGCGATGCAAATATGCAACGAAGGAGACGGAAGCCTCCTTCCCCACCAATTCAGAGCTCGGCTTGCGATCGGCAGCGATGGCTCTCACTTTGAATGAAGCTTTCCGGCCGAGTTCTAGCTGCTGTTCAGCTGGTAAACGTTCCAGCGTTCGCTGCTGTTCCCGTCTATAGCGATCCGCTTGGATATTCTGTGCGCTGCCGCTAGTGGTGTGGTGCTGGCTGTGTGCGAGAATGGACGAGTATGGCTCCGGCGGCCGCCTCTGTTGTGTTTACGATGTTGACTGCCAGACTGTGTCTGACTACCTTGTTGGCTGGCGGACCGACGGACCAACCGGCCAGCCGGTTGGCGCACTGACGGGCTCGTGGCTTGGCCCGTCCGTCCGTCCGTCAGTGAGTCCCTTCGTTGAACGGACGCGGTATGCTTGCAGGCGGACTCAGTAGACGACATTTACCGAGCCGCCAACTTATTGCCGTCGCTCGCGGTGCTGTTAGTCTCACGACAACGCGGTATCGACATATTGACCATTTGTCGTATAGTCTCATTATGCCGCCCCGGTATGCGCTCAACGTTCGCCTCGACAGCGTTATGCGTAACGAACGAGAGGAGGAAATCGAGAGCGAGGATAGAGGAGAAACCCAAGTCGCGAGGGTCTGATACCGCAGGAGTCCGTCGCGGTAATCGGATGCCTCCGCTGGAAACGAGAGACGGTCTACGAGCGGAGGAGCATTCGAAAGGTTTCCGGGAGAAGCTTCGAAGACCCAGCCTTCCGTCGAGCTCGATCGGTCGCCACTTCCCTGGCTCGCGACTCCGTGGACGTCGGATACGACGTCGGCGTGAACGGATTCCGCCGTAGCGATCATCGAACTCCGTCCACTTCTAGGTATCCGTATCAGACAGTATATTGACGATGTTCGGCTGGACGGAGTCCGAAGTTGAGCGAATCGGAAAAGAAGTAATCCGAGCTCCGGGCGACTCATGTTTTCCAAGCTCTTGAGATTCACTGAATAAAAAAACTTCCGGTACATGTCCTGATTCTCTCCGTTGGGATGTGCACCGAGAGCTGCGGGGAATGCAGAAAGGTCAACCTGCGAGATTTCTGCGAATATGTCCACGAGCCCAAATCGGACGGGACTCACTCAGCGTAGTAACAATCGGATTATATATTTTCAGTGTTTTATGAGCGGCCTCTGACATTAACTTGTCAGCATTATGTCTATAGACGTGGATTCGTCGTATGTCACCGAAGACTCGAATGTGGAAACGGTAGAGGAAGTCTGCTGTCCTGAGGAAGAGTTCGATTCTCGGTTGTTGAGCGGCAATCTGACCAACCTGCGGTTCCCCCTCAAGCTCTGGCGGATCGTCACCGATTGCCGGAGCGGGGCCATACAATGGATTCATCATGGGAAGGCGATCGCGATCAACTACCAGATATTCGAGCGGGTACGTCTATCCTATGCGGCTGATCTTGTGGCCAATGGCCCAACTTCACTGCTGAAAATCGCTCGCGGTCCTGATGGTCCTGCGTCAGGAAAATTATTCCCGACATGTCCCTCTGGTCTCCCCAGGAATACTTGGATGCGTCGAAACGGCTGTTCAAAACAAACAACATAACATCGTTCGTGCGTCAACTGAATCTCTACGGGTTCCGAAAGGTCCCGAAAAATTCGAAAAATGGTGTCCAGATGGAAGTTTCTTTCCTCCCGGCCTCGAACCACTCGGTTTTCCATCACGAATCGTTTCGATCGGACCGACCCGATCTCCTTCTTCACGTAAATCGGCGTGGCATTAAACCCGACGGAAAGAAAAACCGTACGAGTTCGCGACCTCGCAGGGAACCTCGTAGAAGGGTAAGCGCGGTGAATCGGGCCGTCCATCTCATTCATTACATAGGTGGAACGCCTGGCGCACAAGTTTCTTGCCGTCAAGCTATAAAAGCTTCTCCGTGTTTTCCAGACCACCACGACGAGCTCCGACTCCGAAACATCAGAGTCCGAATCATCGAATTCCACGGAACAGGTGATTGAAGATGGCATCGTCGATCTCGATCAAGCGGACCTCATCATTCCGTGTGCTGTCCAGCAAGAGACCATCGAGGGCGACCTATCGTCAGGGACCGGAAACGCGAACGATTTCGTAGTACAGAAATCGAAACGAAAATCGCAACATCAATTGAAACATGTTGAATCGAAAAGGTGATGAATGCCCATCCAAGACACGCTACCGAGAGGAGTTGTCGCTGGTCAAGATATGCTATAGGTATATGGTGGAAAATCTCTCGATTCTTCCGTCTGTAGGAATTCGCAGCTTTTTCTGATCACGAGTGACCGTGATCCTAATCCCAAGATCTCTCTGCAGAATGCGGGTCCGGTCTGAATCGGCGGCAGCGATCAATAACCACGGCCATGGTCCAATCAATCGCTCAGGAAGTTTTTCTTCCGGCTCGTCTCTCCACCAACAGGTGGCGGAGGAATTCATTCGGAAGGTACGTGGCGTTTCCGTCTTTGAGAATGAAGCTCTTGCATTCCGCTCGAGTTGTCATGATTCCGATTCGGAATAATAATTCAGGATAATTGAAGATTATTTCAAAATCAAACCCGAATGATCACCCTCATGTCTGGCATTTCGAGGAGCTTGAAGGGCATATACGGCGACGCGCTTCGAACTTCATAACGCTCTCTCCCCACACAGGTCAGAAGCATTTCGGAAAGTAAAGATGATTTCTCCAATGGGTCCGCTGCGAATTCCGCCATCGATGACGAGGAGGACGATGATGACGAACGAGACGGAACCATCCGACTGTCGAACCGCCAGTTCGTTTTCGACCTCAAACAATTGAACAACGGATTCAGCGGTCAGTCTGTGGGAGCAGCCCGGGAACGAGTCAAAGTCGAAAGATTGTCGAGGAACTTCGAACCCGCCGTGGATGTCAAGAACGAAGTCAAAGAAGTAAGCCTTGGTCAAGGGGAATACCGCATAGCTTCCATGGAGCAAGAGACTCAAAGACACGATGCATAAAGGTCGGCGGGATCATGGCGCAAAGCTGATGTTCTCTCTCTCTGATTCGCTAAAACAGGAAGAAGAGATTATAGAGGAAGACATCGGCGAGAGCGGTGAATATCTCGAAGCCGAACAGGTTGTTGAAGAAGTTGTCGAAGAACTGAGCCTCCCCGCGGCCGAATATGACGAAGACGACGACGACGATGACGAAGAGGGAGACGATGACATTCGATCTGCTCTGAGTGGTTCAACTTCGAGAGAACACAACACAGCTCGAGCACTTCTTAGCCTCACGTGCGCCAAACTCCAGAGAGACGTCGCGGGTAAGTCGGAGGCGTACGCTAACTCTCGCTCCGCCTCCTGGAGACGATCTAGGGATTTGATTCGAAATTCTCCTCTCACCAGACCGCTTCGCGAAGGTTTCACGTCTCTGCGTAATTTTTTCAGGCATGAAGACCGTGATGGAGCCTGCGAGTCTGACCACGGCCGGCATGTTGTAATGCAGCAAATCTCAACAGATGATTGAAGATCGACAGACCGAGCCCGAACCGACGTCGTCGTGGTGAAATTCCAACATTATTCTCAAAAGCTTTATCGTATACCGCGGCCTCCCGAAGCACAGCAAAGGTCGTTGGAATCCTGGGAGCGAGCCCTCGGTGGTATACTACACAGCTTTCTGTCTATTTTTGTCTCTTCAATCCCATGTTCGTCGACTCCTTCGTAAGCGGGTGACCGATTCGATCGCTTTGCGACTCCCTGTTTCGACGATGTTAGTCGACGAGGGGCGCCATCCTTACTGCCGTCGCTACTGCAGTTCTATGGTCAACATCCACGCTTTCGGACGATGAGATAATGTCGAGAAACAATTGGTCCTCAACATCGTATGTCACAGAGAAGCCACGACGTCAGTCGCTCCGAGCAAGCAATTGTCCGTCTCTCTGAGTAAGCTGATAGGTCGTCGTCGTCGTCGTTTTGTTTTCGAGCTGATCGGATTTGGGAGGATCTCCTCGGGCAGATTATCGATAGGCACGAGATATATTCACTGCTGGTGCACCGCAAACCGAGGCATACATTACAAATAGAAATACACAGATACGACGTGATAAAATATGGAAGTTCGAATCACCATCCACGGATCGTGATGTTATTGAAGATGTTCTCCGACACATGAGCCGCTGCGCGTGACAGTGAGGATTGAGTCCTCCGATGGACGCACCGATCAATTTGTCGAACGGTCAATCGGTCTGTCGAGAGATTGGTGCTCAGCCGGACGATTCGAGGAGCTCTAAATACTCGTCGATGCATGCCGGGTCCAAGTCGGGATTCATTAAGTGATAAGCCATCAGAAAAAAGTCCTCGGGCTCGAAAATTATTCGCCATTGGATGCAGGCTCGCCTCGTAGCGAGCTTGTTCCGGTGAGGCATCTCGATCTTCGCTGTCGTCGCAGTTTTGTAGAAATATAATTTCCTCACGCTATTGAGTTTTTTTTTCTCACACATTTTGGCCAGAAGTTCCTCACGTGCCGCCTCCACCCCGACCCTCTTGCCCGTGCGTTGATTATATGTATGCCGAGCAGCAGATTTCTTCCCCCACTCTCGTCTTGAGAACTTTTTTTTTGTTTCGTTATTATGATGTAGGGAAGCTTCTCTGATGTATTCATTCAGGTTAAGGTCAAGGCAGAGTACCACTTGGATAAGCGCCATTCTACAGTCCCAAAACGAAGTGGCTTTCGCCCCCGAACGCCACTTCTGGAATGTTCGCGGCCGAGCGGCTCGGGAGATCTCGCTCGTTGCCGTCGCCGCTTTCTTGCGACCGTCCCTCGTCCGCCAAACGTCCCTCGCCAGGTCGACTGTCCCGTCAAGGAGCTCAGATGCGGGACTCGGCCAGTATCGCGAGGGTCCGATCCAGCCTGCGGTCAGCTACAGCTGCGAGCAGCCACAACAGAAAACTTACATACGCCGATGTGATGCGCAGATTTCAATTTCTGCCTCCGTTTACAAGCGTCAACCACAAAAGAGAGCGGTTTCCACATGGATGACTTTTGCAAGCGTTGATTGAAACATGTATTTTAATACTCACTACAGTTCGGAAGACGGACTGAACAGGGGAAAACCCGCGAACCGTCAGACGGGCTTGAGCAGCGGCGTGAAACGAAAATGGTTGTAATCGGTTGCGGGAAATCAGAACGGTAAGGCAGAACGAAACAAAGTCCGTGCTAAAGTCTGGCGCCATTCACCGATGGAACGAGAGAGGGTAATGAGTGAAATCGAGAAAAATTATATATATACACCTACCTATTAGAGAGAATAAATTGTCAAACTGGAAGAATTCACTTTTCATTCGATTCTCGAGAAGTCGCTCGCCGAAAGTGAAATCACGAAGCGACGGATTCGACCGAGGGAAAAAGCCTCAAGTCGTATGTAAATCGATGGCGCTTTATTATCCGACCTTCCGACAGCCGGAGCTCACCGGAAATGATATTCTTCTACTGCGGTTGACTTCTTCGCGGACTGAATCATTATCCATCATCCCAGAATCTTTCATCAGTTGCGTAGTCGAGAGGCACCGCGATTGTGCTGTCCACTTTCGATCGGAATCTCTCTGGAACAAAAAATGGGCCACTTAATATCTGGATGAAACTCCTGGCTACAAGTACAATGAATCCCGTTGAGGCTATCAATGAGATTTTTCGGAGCTCATGGCCAACTCTTTCTGATCCCTCTCTCTTCTCGCATAATGAACGATGATTTCGGACAATCAAGATCGTGGATCAATCTGTGTGGGCCATCCGATCGACGCCATCAGAATCGACGGGTCCTCGCGGTAGACTCCTGATAAACAACCAGCGCCCGCGAGAACGCGGGGAAATGTTCCGGAGCGTCAAGCTGAGCAGTTCGCATTCTGATCCCGCCATTGTCCGTCGAAGGAAGCCAGGAGAGGATCAGTTTTCGGGGAACGCTTGTCTGAGTGAGTGAGACATCGATTCGATCCAATGTCTATGAGTGGCCCGATTCTTGGGAGAGTTACCGTCCTGAGGAACTTTGATACACGCTCGATGTTCGGAAGAATGAGAGGGCAGTTTTCACCCGCCGCGCACGCTCCATTTTACGCCTGTGTGGCGGCGGAGTTCAGTACGGTAACGACAGAGTATACTTTTTCAGTGAGCGACGTCCAGGAAACGGCTAGCCTGTGACATTCCTTTTTACCTCTCCTTATTCTACGTTGTTTGCTGGTGCTGTTGTGCGAGAGGAGGTCTCAATAAAAGAGCCCTCCGTCGTAAACGAAGCCCACACTTAATACAGGGTCATTTAGACCACTCCGAGGTGAGTTATTCATTGTCGCCGGCGAGCTGCATCGAACGTATTCCACGTACAATCCGTGTATCCTGTATGTCTGATAGGCTGAACTACCGTGAGAGAAAGAGAACAATACCCGGTGAGATTTCCCTTTCGTGAAGGTGGACAAGTTGAAGGAAATTATAAGCTTCTGTCGAGCTCATGCTATTGGATACATTCATGGGCCGAATCTGAAAAGAAAGTGACCTCTGCTTTCAGACGCTTCGAGATGGACTTCGGTCCATTGGACATGCTGCAGATAATGCAGACGGTGAATGTTGTGCCGCCTCCCGTGCCGGTGGAGCCTGTTCCGCCCGTTCCTTTCGTACCGGGGGACTTTTCCGACATGTGGTGTCGTAACCCAGAAGGCAACAAGGTCGAATGGTCGGTTTCATGGGGAATCGATTCTTCCAATCCGGGAATTTTCCGAGCGATCGAATTATCTTCAGACGCTGAGCACTCGCTCGGGTGCCCGGGGCGGAGACAGTTTCCGATTCTCGTAGCTCGCAGCGTGTCAATCGAAGCAAGCATGTCGGAGCTTCGTAACGAATTCATATAATGTCCCTCCTCAGGTCAATTATGTACAAAGTTCCTGCCATGGCGATGTCCCAGGGGACAGCAGAGTCGATTTCGAATGGAGTGCAGTACGGTTACATTGATTCGGCGACGAAATTGGACGCGACTGTGAGGATGCGTATGTTCTACGACATTACCTCGACCAAAGACAACGCTCTATATAACACCTTGGACGTGCTCTTCAAGTATCCCAGAGGATTTCTCAATGAAAAGGTTATTTGACATGAGCAGCGACGACAGTCGATTTCCTCGTCTGGGCGGTGATCTATCGAGGGCCGACCTGGCACTCCTTCAGTCGCTCCGAATGTAATGTGTGTCGTGTTCAATCGTCGCAGAATCTCACGTTTCTGGCGTACAGCGATCGGCCCCCGGCGAACTTGGCAAACACTACGACGAACGGAGTCGCTAAAGGCGTTCTTCTCTTCGGTGCGAACTCGGGAGCATGGCTCGTACACAGTTTGGACGGGTTCGGAGAATTTTTCAAGGAAACATACTCGTTCCCTGAAGAGGCCCGCAGACAGGGTCAGATGGTTATGTGCATGTCACTCACATCGGATAACTGGCCCAGGATAAGTGAGTCTCTCCACTCGGGTCCCCGCTCGAATATTCGCACTCGGGATATGTTCGCGGAGGGTTCCGCCAGAACCTTCCCTCCGACTCGGATTCTCATGGATCGACCGCTTTTTTTCAGTATCGCATCTGCGCAGAGAAACTCCGAACCTTTACGACTGGAACATATTGCCCGATATGTTCGAGGCCTATCCGTATCTCACGAAGCTTGTCGAGAAAAATTTCAACCATGACGATCCCGGAGCGGAAACCAACGTCCTCACTGGAGTCAACGGGACAGACTTCCTCGCCTTCTCCAAAAACGCAATCCATAACTTCGGTACCGCGACCTCCCGACATCCCACGATTTGCTAATTATCCATAAAACATATATAATTTCGATAATCAACGATAGCTAAGCAGTCGAGCTACCGAACATTCTCTTCATCTACCCCGCTCCCCCACGCGGACAGACGCTAATGTGTGGAACTTTGAATTCCTCTAGATATCTACGAGACGCTCGTCGCGCCGGGACTCGAGACGAATATCTTCATTCATGGGGCTGAGGAAAGCGGGGAACAGTATCTCGAGAATTTTTGTAACGAATTCAACCTGACAGCCGTGAAGGAAGTAGAGTTGAAGGTCGGGACGGATGTGACTTTCAAGAAAATCAAGAGGTCCCAGGATAACTCGAAGTGGGCTGTAGCCGAACGAGACTACTGGGTCTGCTTCGGTTCCGTCGACAGGAAGGTACGGCAATAGATCCTGTCCACTTAGAAGCTTCCGCCGGTCGGATATTCTCGCATTGGTCGATCAGTGTACGCAAACTCAAGCGCAGGAGCCTTCTCTGATAATTCTTCATCAACTCCACGTTGCAGAAGAACCATCTGCCTCGAGGAGCCGAGGCTTTCTGCTTCCAAAACCAGCCTGCCAATATCTTGCTAGCGAACAGTATTGATTTATTCGCCAGCTGCAAGGAGCTACCGTCGGACCTCGCGGCCAAGGTGGGCTTTCGAGCAAACATCAGAGAGACAATGTAGAGCAGAAGTACGATCATAAATGTCTTCATCCGAGGAAGGCCCCTTAAAGTCCCGCCTTAAAGATTGCAGCAGCTGCTCCAGGGACTTCGATAGCACTCGACTCTACACCGAACGGAGGTTACTACACACGCCCCTTGTTCATCAGACCAGCGTTCGGTATCCCACGGATCTACTATGGTGGGTTGCCGAGTTTCGGCTTCGGGTTCCCGTTCAAGAAGATTCTCAAAAACCCGATCGTTGTCGGGGCCGCGGTCGCCGGAGTGATGCACTATCGACATAAGCAGCAGATCAAAAAGCTGAACGCAATGCACGCACTCTCGAGCGGCTATGGCGGCGGTCACGGTGGTGGCTTCGGATCGCCCGGTTTCGGAGCGGCTGCCGGCAGCAAGTACTCGTCGGGCTTGGCGGGGCTTTTCGGCGGCAGAAAAACCTTATCCGGGGCCCCGTATCCGACGATGGCTGGGAGTTACACCCCGAACATCAATCCGGGCTTTGCCGCCGGCGGATATCCGAACTATCCGAACTACGGCGCAGGGTATCCCGCGGCACCTCGCGCCAGCTATCCAGGCTCGGGTTACCCCTCAGCCCCGCACCACGGATACCCCCGCCCCCGTACAGCGCTCACGCGTCCGCTCCACACAGTCCGTACGGATCCGCAGGGGGCGGTTATCTGGTCCAGCCGGCTCATAATCCTGGATACAACGCGGCAAAGCCCGGAACTCCATCGGCGCCCTCGGCGCCGTCGGCGCCTTCAGCTACGGGCGTCACAAATCAGAAGTCTGCGCCCGTCGCATCTGGAACTTCGAGCTCGAGAGGTTCAAGTCCTCACCGACCGGTGAAAGTGGAGAAAACGGTAACGAAAACGGTAACGACGTATGGTTCCGGCCGTGGCAGCAGTGGGAGTAGTCGTGGCAGCGGTGGTTACAGCCGCGGAAGCAGCGGTGGCTATAGTCGCGGGAGCAGTCGAGGAAGCGGTCGGGGCGGTGGGCGGGGAGGGGGTCGCGGGAAGGGCTAAAAACCTCGACGACGGGGAAGAACCTTTCTCGGGTCTTGGCAGAAAATCTGTCATCTACCCATGTGTCTCGCAGTCGACTCACCGCAATGTCTGTCTCTAACGGAAATCTCTGACCAACCAACGCGAACGTCTCGCTCGACCAATGTCTTATCAAGCGTCGGTCGGACTGAGCAGGTACGCCTCGGAGCGCGCGTTCCTAAGGACGGACGTGAACGATTATGAACAATCGAGTTTTTCGCACGGGTGAATTCCTGCAAATATCCTAGGTCAATCTTGTTCCGAAGCTCCTTCTATTTTGAATAAAATACTGCCGGAGTATCGGACTGGTTTTGTTTTCAACTTAAACTCGATCAGGAGACCGCTGATCGCCTTCGAAAAAGCTCCGCCCGAGTCTCACCATGGGTTCCCCTCCGGTTATCATGATCGAGCAATGAGGTTCCAGACTCCTCGATCTCCGATAATGGGCCGCGTTGACCCGCCCTCGACCGATCGAACCGGAGTTGGACGAGGGTGCCGTGGGGATGGATCTTCGCGAACGGGGATATGAGCACGAATCTCAGTTTTCCCGATTTTTCAGCCACGAAACAATCTTCGTTGACGTACCTAGCGAGACCATCGAGGGCCTGTTTGCTTCTGCGGGATTCCCGGCTCTGCAGAGTATTGTTCAGCGAATTCTCCGAGAACTATCCTCAGGCTACGGGGTCTTCTGAGGAGATTCTCTCATTCTAGGATCGGGTTTTACGTCTCGCCAATCTCCATGTTCTAGCGCGGACGGAGAGCCATCCGAACGCAAACTCGATTAGCGACGCTTCCATAGCGGAATTACATCGTCGCTTCTCCACGATCGTCGCGGGACGCCGAATAATTTTCGCAAGTCCGAGAATGAATAATGAACCTCGCGACAATCTCAGAAACTAAACGGAATCGTGTTATGAATCCAAAACACCGATAAGTGGACGCGAGGGTACGATCTCGGTCCTTCGCCTGCGAGCTGGAATCGCCGCCGCTCGCGGTCGTCTTACCCACAGGACCCGTGACTCACGAGTTTTGGACTCGATAGTCTCACTAAGGATCGTCTTAACGTCTACGCGTGCTGAAACCCGAGACTCGCGAGTTTCGCTATCTCGAGCAATTAAGGCTAACAAAAGATGCGCCCAAGAGCGCTCTTTGAATCAATGAGTTTTGGCTCCAATCTCTCCGATAGCGAAACTCGGTCCACGAACAATGCCGTCTACCACGTCGCTTCTTTTTATTTTCTTACTCTCGAGAAAACAGCCACTCTATCCAGTGCGAGCTGACCCCAAATCGGCCGCGAAGACGCAGATTGAGTGGGAGGAGAGAAACGACCGAGGCTTCCGAATAGAACGGGGGACAAGGAAGAGGCGTAAATCAGGCCGCTCTCCGGAAACAGATCAATGCGGTCTCTATATCCACCCCGCGGGAATCGAGGGTAGAGTCGGCAGATTACGTAAACCGTCTGAGCCCCGTCTGCTCGTCTCGAGTGTGACGCTATGGAGCTACTCAACGAATATCTCACGGGAAGGGACTGGAAAACTCATCGGCCTCGCAAGTGAGTGCCACGTGTCGCATCAGCTGAGCGCGCAATAGGAAGAGTGAAGGGCCTCCGCTACACGCGACTCTCCGACAGAGGTACAGTAAATGCCCATCGGAGAGAGCAATGAGTGTATGCTTGATAAGCCTCTGGGGAGGATCCTCACTCATAACTGTCTCGATTCTCCCCAGGAACTCCCTCTCCCAAGCTATATTATATACTAGCGCTCCCGGTCGCCGCTCCCGGCGACTCGGAATCGATGGACTCACTACACATGCGCTGTCAAACAGACAAACAGACAAGCATACGTTTTTACATGTATAGGATTCTTTTTTCTCGACGGGAAGATTGGGCCACATAACCAGAAGTCATGATGATCAACTCGCGGACGATTTTCGAACCTTGGCGTCGAAGTGTCCGAAAGACTCCGGCGAGTCCGTCAGATATGTCAGTCTTCTCTCCCGACCGGTGACCGACATCTCGGAGTGATGGACATGTGAACAGAGCGATTCGATCCCCGAATTGATGAAGTAAGAGAATCGTTTCAATGAGGCTAGGCTTCGAGGGATCCTCGATCCGAGAGGAGGGCGATACTCCGCGGGAAACTCACAATCCGTAGCGGAGAGGTAGTAATACTATCTTGGTACCTCAGTAGCAGTACTACTACCGGAGTATGAACCTGACATTTTCAAGGGGGCTTCGGACGGGAAGGTCTCCGAGGGGAAACCCCCACAACGAATACATTTATTGATCTGAATCGGTTCACTTTGAAATAATCAAACCTCAATCTTACTTCAGGGAGCGTTCCCCCCAGAGTCTCACTAACGAATCCAATTGCGAGATAGCACTGTACTCTCATAGCTTCAGGTACTTGGAATGTTTCCGCAAGACATCAAGAGCGTCCCAGCCCTCAGTCAGGAACGACGTATCATCCGTCATCCGCTTAGGCTATACTTTTCACCTTCCAGGTTCTCGCTTCCTCGAAGATTGAATAACTGATAGAGCGTCATGTACATCCTTGTGACCGAAATTCCGCGATCCCCGCTGCAACGTCGAGACCGAAATGAGCTCAGTCCCTCGGTTCCTTCGCAAGGCCGCGCATTTGTCTCGGATTCCTACTCAGTCAGTTCGCCGACGATAGCTTCCCTAACGAGCAAATTTCGCTCTCACGGGTATACCATGCTTCGGATTAATGACGACGCTGGGAACTTCCAATTCGGGCGTCGATTCGAAACCATCACCGGGCTCGAGTCGAACTTCGGTGAGCATCTTAACAATGGCCATCTTGATTTCGAACAGAGAGAATCTCATGCCGATGCAGATTCGGGGTCCCAAACCGAAGGGGAGGAACTGAGCAGCGTGCAGAGGTCGCTTCGCATCCGCGGCGAATCTTTCAGGTCTGAACTCTTCCGGCTCATCCCAGTGCTCTGGACTGTGGTGTATGTGGTACACCGGGATCACGACGCTGCAGCCTTTCGGGAAGAATCGTCCATTGATCGTAATGTCCCGCGAGCAGTGCCTCGAAACGAATAAGACGATGGGCGGATAGACGCGCAGGCATTCGTCGATGAAATTCTGAAGAAATTTCAGAGAGTTCAGATCTTCATAGGAGAGTTCAGTTTTCCCGGGGAAGAGCTCTTCTACCTCGGCGACGATTCTCTCTTGCATGTCGGGTCTCGCGGCGAGAACCTGTGTGATGAAGGCCAACGCGGTCGCACTGGTTTCGAAGCCCGCTACCAGAAAGATGAACGAGTTCGCCATGAGTTCCCTGTCGTTTATTTTACCAGTGGTCTCCTGAGCATCGAGCAGAAGCTGCAGGATATCTGGCTGCTTTGGGACTTGACCTGCGCGACGTAATTTTATAGCGTAATCCAAGTTCTCCAAGATAGCCTTTATGATCCCGCCGGTCCCAAAGCTCCGGTAGAGGAAGCCGAAGACTGGTCCCAGAAACGGAAAGGCGTGCGCCAAATCAACAACGCTGTTCTCGGCCTGAT